ACGAGATCTGCAGCGGCTCGCCCTTCTGCTCGCCCTCGCCGACCTTGAGCACGGGCGAGCCGGCCTGCACGACGTGGATCTGCGTCTTGTACGCGCGCGACAGCGCCAGGATCTCGGGCTGCCCGCCCCACACGCCCGTGTTCTCGACGGCGTCGCAGTAGTCCATAAAGTGCTCTTCGCCGGCGTCAGACAGGGGCCTGCGGGCACGCACGGCACACTCACTCGTCATGCCCTTGACGGAGCTGTCCAGCGCGCCGGCGTCGGTGTTCTGGATGCCCGCCATGTGCTCGTCCGAGTCGGAGATGAACGGCATAAAGTCGTCGGCGTGGCCGCGCATGTGCTCTGCCGTTGCCCGGCGCGTGTCGCGAAAGTCCACCTGGCGCAGAGGGTGAGCGATGCAGCGCGGCATGTTTCCCTGCTGGCGCACCTTCTTGGCGACTTTGCCGCGCGAGTTGAGCTGGTCAGCAACCGCTGCGTACAGACTAGAGGCAAGGTGAGCGCTGAGCAAGCCTCGAGCGACCGTCGCGCCTCACCAGTGGCCGTCGGGATTGATCTGGCCCGAGCGAGGTCAGCAAGGCCAGCGTACTGCTCGGACACGACGCACCTCGCGCATCGTCACGTTGAGCGCGCGACACAGCTCCTCGATGCCGCGGCGCTCCCGCTCCGCCTCGTCGGGCTTGGCGCCGTTTGCGCGCAGCTCTGCCTCTGCCTGGCTGCGCATGGCAGCCTGCTCTGCGTCTCTCCGTGCCTGATACGAGCAGATCAGCAGCAAGGCAGAGCGTCGCGCCTGGCCCGGCCAGCTGAGGCGCAACATCGGCCACCTATCAGCCGGCCTGCGCGTGTCACTCACAAGCCTGGCCTTTGCCCGGTTGACCTTGCCCCCTTTCCCTTCACCAGCCTCTGTCCCCGCACCGCCGCTGAGCAGCTTGCGTATCCCCTCGCCTGCGCTGTGCCCGAAGCTGCGCCGCCGCGCCTGCGAATCGTCCCCTTCCTCGGGCTTCTCCGGGCTGCGGCTGAACAGGCGCCCGCTGGCCTCCTTCAGCGACGAGGAGAGCTTGCGGTGGCTCTCTGTGTGGCCCGCGCTGCCCGCAGCTGCCTTGTCTACCGGCAGCGTCCCTGCCTCCTGCGCACCTGCGGCCTCTGCGTCGCGTGCATCGAGTGTCGCGAGCAGCTGGTCCGCCAGATCGAGGGCATCGTCGTCCTCGCCAGCAGCAAAGGCGTCAGGATTCGTCTCCAGCCCATTGTCGACGTTGCGCTGCGGTGTGTGAGCCCCGCGCGATGCCGCCGACTGCCAGGTGTCGCACTCACGTACACGTCGGCGCGCAGCGAGTCGGTGCGGCTCGGGCCGGGCGGCAGGGGCGCGCCGCGCTGGCTCTTCTTCTTGCGCGAGGGCATGGCTGCAAGAGGCGCAGCAGGGTGGAGCGGACAGCAGGCGGTGCAGGTGGCCGGGAAGGCGGATGCGGGCGCGGCGCGGCGCAGCGTGGCAGGCGAGCCTGGCCTGGCTTGGCTTGGCGCAACGCAGCCCCGCGGATCTGCGCCGGGAATTTTGCCGGCGAGAGCGTCATGGCGCAGCGCAGCGAGGCGCCTTCTTCCAACACACCACACCTCAGCAAGCATGGAGGACGCGCTGCGGGCGCTGCATCAGCTCTCGCTGCCGGCGCCGTCGCCTGCGCAGCTGCTCGACCTGCTCGACTCGCACTCCGACGCCGCCGAGCGCGTGGCCCAGCTCATCGCGCTCGCCTCGGCGCCGGGCGAGGGCAGCGAGGGCGATGCGGCGGACCTGCTCGGCGCCGACCTGCTCACGCAGGCCGTGCGGGCCATCCTCGCCAACCTGGCGTCGGCCCTCGAGGCGGCGCGTGCGGCACACGAGGTGCGTCGGGCGCCGAGGCACGCGCTCCCCAGCAGCTGACGCCTGCGCAGAAAGAGAGGGAGCAGCTGCAGAAGCCGGCGGCGGTCAAGATGCTGCCGCGCAAGGCGCATGTGGCGCGCTCCACGGCAGCGCTCAAGCGGGCCGCGCGCGCCGAGGAGGAGAGCGGCCCGATGCGCCCCCGGCTCGTCTTTGACGGCGGCCCGAGCTACGTCTCGCGCGCGAGCCTCGCCGAGCTCGAGCCCATCAGCGCCGCAGACATGAAGCTTGTCCCGAGGCGCTACGAAGGTGCGTCGTGGCTCGTCCCTGGTAGGCTCGCGCTGACCCGCGCTGCAGGCCGCGTCCTGTACTTGCGGACCGTCGCGCCGCCGGTGCCCTACGTCGGCCTGCTGCTGGAGGGCGAGGACGTGGCTGGCAACATCGTGCCGGTCGCAGTGTCGCACGCCACAGTGCAGCCTCAAGGCATGGACGCTGCCGCCGCGCTGTTTCCCGTGGGCACGTTGATCGCGATCAAGGAGCCATACCTCTCGCCAAACTACGCAGCGCGCGCCGCTCCGGGCAAGCCGCTGGCCGGCATCCGCATCGACTCGCCGACGGATCTGAAGGTCTTCCGGAAGGGCGAGACTGGCCCGCCCGGCTTCGAGCTAGCGCCCGCTGCTCCTGCTGCAGCCTCGGCATCGCTGCCCTGGCTCGATGACCCTGTCGCTCTCGAGACATCTTCGGAGCAAAGCGCTGCAGTGACTGCCCTGCTGGCTGCCGGCCGACCAGGTGCGGCGTGGCGGTTGCTGCAACGCGCGCGTACTGCCGAGAAGAGTGCCACGCCCGAACACCTCGCACTCGAGGGGCGCATCAGATATCACGCAGAAGACTGGGCGGGAGCGGCAGCCGCATTCGAGGAAGCCATGGCCCTCTCTGAGGCGAGCGCCGGCTCGGACCTGCAAGACGGCGCGCAGTCTCTCGGCGACGGCGCGCAGTCACTCGGCGACGGCGGCATCCTGCCTCCGATGCCGCTGCAGGCCTGCCTCCGACAGGCTCGAGCTCACGCCGAGCGGTTCACACTAGAGCCATCGGCGGCCGAAGTGCGGGGCCTGTACTTCGCGGCCGCAGCGGGAGCGCGGCGGCTGGACGTGCGCACCTACGTCGGCCCAGCTGCGGTGCGGGACATCGAGGGTGCCGGTCGCGGCCTGGTGGCCACACGCGACGTGCAGCCGGGCGAGGTCATCCTCCTGTGCCGCGCCGTCGCTCCGCAGTATCCCTCCGGCCCGCCCGTGCTGCGCCTGAACCTCGAGAACGGGCTCGTCTCGACCAGCAGTCAGATTGCTGCCCAGTCTGGGCTCATCCATGCCCTTGTCGGTGCGTGCATAGTCAGACACCGCGCACGCACTCGCTGACGATACCTAGACCGGCCCGAGCTCCAGCTGCCCGTGCTCGGCCTCACCGCCGGTCCCGACCTGCCGTACTCCGCCTTCGTGCGCGAGCCGTACCCCGTCAGCGTGCCTTCGCTGCGCGAGGATGCACACGAGCGCCCAGCCGTCGATGCGGCATACGTCGACGGAGTGCTCCGCTTCAACGCCTTTGGGCCGTCGGCAGCGATCGATGCCGCCAGCGGAGCAGTCTTCCCTCGCGCCATGCCGCACCCGCTGCCGGCCATCCTCAACCACGCGTGCCTGCCCAACGTCTCGACGACGTTCCACGGCGACGTCCTCCTCTCGCGCGCGCTGGTGCCGCTGCCCAAGGGCATCGAGATCGTGCATCCGTACGTCCGAGGCGAGCTGCCGTACGCGGTGCGGCAGGCGCAGCTCAGCAAGCATGCATTCCAGTGCGCCTGCGAGCTCTGCCGCCTCGACGCTGCGGATGGCGACGGTGCGCAGATGCGCGCGCGCCTCGTCGCCGGAGAGCTGCCTGCGATTCTCGCCCGCAGCGGGTCCGTGCTCAAGATGCGCGTCAACGCCACCGAGGCTCCAGACGCAAAGGAGCGCGAGGCACACGAGGACATCGTCGAGGCACTGGAAGGCATCATTGATCGCATGGCCGCCACGTACCAGCCAGGCCGGGGCAGCCTGCGCCCGGAGCTCTTCGACGTCTTCCGCAGCTGCGCAGCACACCGCGCCGTGACGGACCCGAGCCGCTCGGCACAGGTGAGTCTGCCTCTGGCGCTGTGCACCCTCCGAGTGCTCACGCCGCTCGCCGCAGTGTGAGCTCGACGCTCTTGCGTGCGCCGGCGCCGAGGCACGCGAGGACTGGGCTGCGCCCCACAGCGGCACGGGCGAGCCAGCTGCCGTCCTGTCGCGCCTGCCGGCGCTGCACCTCGACGCGTCCATCGAAGCCATGCTGGCCAGCAGCACGAGGCTGGAGGCCAGCGGCCAGCCCGAGTGCGCGATCCGCTGGACGGCCACGGCCGTGTGGGCGCACGACTGCATCATCGGCGGCGGGCTGGACGTCCTCGTCGACCGCTTCGGCGAGCGCTACGGGCCGGCGCTGCGCCTCTGGCAGCAGCGCTTCGGCAGGCCATAGCAGCCGCGAAATGCCATACTGCGCAAACACAGGTCGGCTCTGGCGCGACGTCGTGCTCCGGCCTCACAGCTTCGTGGGCGAGTCGACGGGCGATGCCTTGTCTTGCGGCTTCTCGTCTTGTGTGTCGGGCACGGTGCTAGCCGCGTCGTTCTCTGGTTGAGATGCCGGTGGCGATGCGCTAGGCGCCACTGGCTCGGTCTGCGGCTGCTGGTCTTCGCTGGCGACCGCGAGGGCACCGAACTGCTTCGAGAGTGCCTCGTCGGGCAGACCAGTCGACGCAGCGTCCGCTTTGCCCGCCTCTGCGGCGAGGCCCGGCGCCGTGTGCGACGTTCGCTTCGCAGTCTGCTCCACCGCGTCTGGGATCATACGTTCCTTCGTCTCGATGAAGGCGCGCTCGAGCTCGTCCTGTGGCGACACTACGTCAGCCCTCGCCTCGCTGCGCGCCCACTGCCACTCACCTGCCAGCCGAGCTCCTGCGCGACCGCTATGCAGATCTCGTCCGTCTTGCCCTCGATCCAGACATCTCTGCTAGCGGCGCGCGCGTCTTCGTCCAGGTCGTCCGCAAAGTCGAACCCGCCGTAGCCGCCTTCGCCGACGCACTCCAGATTCAGCAAGAAGCGGCGGCAGCTGCGCGGCACGCGCGCGATCAGCCCGGCGAACGGATGCACCTGCAGCGACGTGCCCATCACGAGCAGCAGGTCCGCGCGCTGCAGGTCGGAGAGACGCTTGAAGAACGACTCGGGCAGCGCCTCGCCAAAGACTGCGCAAGATCAGCACACGGAGCGTCGCGACCGCGCTTCCCCTACGCACAGACGATATTCGGCTTGACGATGCCGCGCCTGCACTTCTTGCGAGGGCAGCGCGCCACGGTGCCGGCGAGGCAGTGCTCCTTCATCCATGGCTCGGGCTGCTCGGCGTGGCAGTCGATGCAGGCATTGCCGGCAAACGAGCCGTGCGCCTCGATGAGCGAGTCGGCCTCTACGCCGGCGAGGCGCTCGAGCGTGTCGACGTTCTGCGTCCAGACCGAGAGGCAGTTGCGCTCGCGCGCCTGCAGCTGTGCGAGGAAGTGGTGCGTGCGCGTGGGCGCGTACTTGCCTGGGTAGAGGTGCCGCGAGAGGGTGAAGAAGGCTGCAGAGCCGTGAGCCTCTCTGTCCCTGGCCGTGCACGGCTGCCGTCCCCCTCTCACCCTCGGGCCTCTGGCGCAGATAGTCGAGGTCGAAGATGGCCTCGGGCTGAGGCAGATTGTACTCTTGCTGCTCATGCGCGCCAAGCGTCAGTGCGAGAGCCCAGCATACGTGCCTCGCTGACGCACCAGGTTGTCGTACAGGCCCGTGCCCGGCGAGCGAAAGTCGGGGATGCCGGCGGCGGTCGACGTGCCGGCGCCACACAGCACCACGACCCGCTTGGCGCGGCGCAGCGCGGCGCCGAGGGCGCGGATCGAGGCGCTGGCGGCCGCAGACGGGGCGCTGGCGCTGGCCATGCTGCTGCGACGGCGGGCAGTGCGAGGGAGGATGGGGGTGCAAGGCAAGCCGCGGCGTGTGGAGGCAGCACCGCGCCGAGCGCTGCGCCTCGCTGCGTGCCGCGCGCGGCCGCGCGCGCTGTCTCGCCCCGCCGCCGCCGCCGCCGCGCCGGCTTTTGACGTCTCCGCCGCGCCAGCCTTTGCCCTCACTGCCTCGCATCCCTCAGCCTGTCCACGCTGCTTGACGAGGGCGAGTTCGCCAATAGAATGGCACATCGACAGGCGTGGCGACCACTGCGTGCCAGAGTATGGCCTCCGTGCGGGTACGACCGCGCCGGCACTCGCGGCACCGGGCCGGCTGCCGCCCGGCTTGGCTGTCGCAGCCACACGCGAGGAGTCGAGCTGGGACTTGCTCTGCTGCCTCTCCCTGCACCGCACTGTCCCTGCCCGAAGGCTCAGTGCCGCCTGATGCTACCGCAGCGCAAGCTCGAAGAGCAGCGATGTAGCAGCGTGCGGCAGGAGGATCAGGTGTTGGCTCGGCGCTCGGGGCCTCGCGCAGCCCCGGCGTCACGACGAGCATGTTGACGATGCAGGCCAGACACTCTCCCTCGAAGAGCCGCTCAGCACCAAGGATGTCTGCGCTAGCTCCGCGACGGCCGCAGCGCATCAGCTCGCGACTGTGACTGCACGCTGCTGCACGCTGCGTCTGCGATGGGGGCCGTGGGTGCTACGAGAGGCGGGAGGACGCATCGAGCGGCAGCATGCAGCGGGCAAGCCGCATACACTTGGCCCGTCGGCCGTTCCCACGCACCCCTTGAACGCTGCATGCGCTGCGCCCCGCCGCATCGCTCCACCCCAACTCCGCGCACGGCGGCCCGTCCGCTGCCCGATGGCGCTGCGCCGCCTCGAGAGGCTGCCTCCTGCAGCGCTGTCCTCGCTCCTGCGGCGCCTCAACACCTCACAAAGGCGAAGGAGCGTGCTCGTTGAGGCAGCGCTCGTCGTCGCCTCGCTCGGCGCACTCGACTTGCCTCGCTTGGCTGCGCCGCGGCTAAGCTCCCCTTCATGCGCGTTCCTGCCCGCCGCTGCGCCGCCTTGCCTCGGCGCAATCAACTGCGGCACGCCACACCTTGCTCTTGCCTGCCGTCCTCGCTTCTCGCCGACGGCCGCACTCGACGGCCGCAGTGCCCACGCCGCATGCCGCGACACCTGCCGCGCTCGGCGCTTCCGTTGGGCAGCAGCACAGCGGTCGCCGAGCTAGCGCACGGTGCAGGGGTACGCATGCAGCACACGCTGCGTCGCTGCTGCTGCGTGCTGTTGCTGCGGCTGCAACTGCTCGCGGGCACCTCCCGACTCAACCGCGCTCGTGCTCGCTGAGGTGACTGTGACTGCACTCGGCCATGCCGCTGCGGCTTGCTCTTGATCGTCGGCGGGCAGAGCGCAGCTTCTAGCGGCATCGGCGTGCGGAAGCGGCGCGGCGGCGGCGGAGCGCTCACGAGCGTGCGAAGCGGCACGGTGCGAGGGCCGGCCGTGCGTCCTGCACTTGCTCCTGCCTGCCAGCTCTTGCTCTCGAGAGCGAGGCCCGCCAGGCTGCAAGTGTCCGTTGCGCCGTGCCGCCGCGATGCCACAAAATGGGTTCGATGACAGCGGCGCCACACAGCGGCCGCCCTTAAGAGGAGCCGATGCGCCGCCTCGCGTCCCTCTCGCCCCCGTTCTGTCATTCGCTCTCGCACAGCCGGCCATGCCGCACCGCGACACGCACCCGTACGCCGGCCGCGCCGCCGGGCTAACGTCGCCGGCCGCCTCGCCGCAGGCATCGTCGCAGTCGTGCCTGCCGCTGCGCACGTCGCCGCCCGGCGCCGCGCTGCCGCTGACGCCGTCGTCGGCCGGCTCGCGCGCGACGGCGCTACGCAGCTATCCCAAGCCGCTGCAGCTCGCCGCGCTGCCCGGCACGCCGTCGTCGCTGCTGCCGCACTCGCCGGCCTTTTCCTCGACGTCGTCGTTCGCATCGATCGGCATCGCCGGCGAGGCTGCGATTCCCAGCGCCTGGAGCACGCCCGCCACGTCCGCCTCGTCGTCGCCCCAGTCCGCGCTGCACTCGCCTGCGCGCAAGTTCCGCTGGCGTCCGGGGACGTCGTCGAGCGCCGCAGGCACAGACTACGGCGCCGCATCGAGCTCGTCCACGGGACTGCCGCTCAGCCGCAGCATCTCGGGCGCGCACAGCGCAGCCGCCCTGCCGCCGGCGCGCAAGGAGGGCTGGCTCTCGGGCAAGCTCCGCAAGAGAAAGGAGGACGGCGCGACTGTCACCTCGCCATCAAACGGGCCGCTGCGGCACGCTTCTCGTCAAGACTCGACCGGTCGTCCGTCCTCGCCTCAGCAGGCAGCGTCGAGCGAGCGCAGCTCGGAGCAGCAGAGCCACTCCTTCAGTCTTCGCTTCAAGCCCGGCGGAGCAAAGCCATCGCTCAAGAGCAATGCCTCTCACGCGCTGCCTCACGGACCCTGGAGCTGCATGACGCAGCCCTGGCCCCTGAACGCGCGCAGCGAGGTGCCGTGCGGAACGTGGGCCGACTTCGCTGCCCTCTACGCGGCGGGCTACGTCGATCTCTCCGACCCGCCGTGGCCCGTGCAGCTGCTGCGGCGCAGCACATTCTTGGGCTCTGCGCTGGCGAGCAGCCCACGCACGCCCGATGAGCGTCCGCGCCGCTCAAAGTCTGCACGCGAGAAGAAGCGACGACCCAGCACGGCGCCTACCTCCGGCCCCCGCGGCGCCCTCTCCGCGGGGCCGTCGCCATTCCCGCCGCCTAGCCTTCCTCTGCCTGCGCTGCCCTCGCGGCCGGGCTCGAGCGGACACTCGCGCGAAGCGACAGAGGAGCTCCGAAGCAGCGCCGAGATGCCCGACGACGAGCGGCAGACCGTGTGGGAAGTCAGCACACAGGACGACGACGACCTGTGCCCGCCGCCATCGCCGACCAAGCCGCTGGCTGCTGCCGACGGCGCCATCAAGAAGGGCATGCGAGCCCCCGTTCCAAAGTGAGCGACTTTGGCTGGCGTCGGCGACGTGCTACTGACATGCCATGCGCCGCAGCTTCGAGCAGGCGCGTCTGCAGTCGCTCGTGGCTCTGCAGCCATCCCGCTTCTACAGCTCTGCCTTCGCCGGCAGCGGCGCGTCGCTCGCCACTCCGCACATCACCTTGGGCCTCGAGGAGGAGCTGCAGACTCAGGACGAAGCGGCCGACCCCATCGAGGCTCTGCGCAGTGCTGCAGCACGTGCGGTGGAGGCGCTGCTCAGCAGGTGCAAGAGCGCTGCACGGGCACGCTTCGTATGGGTCGAGGCCGAGTGTCTCGGCGTTGTCGCAGAGGGAGAGACCGACGAGTTTGCCCGTCGCTGGGAGCTCGACCGTGCTGCGTCCTTGGAGGTGCGCAATGCGCCGAGCTACGCGCGATGGTCCGTCCAGACTGACGCCCTTCTTGCTCAGGCGCATGTCATCCTCAACCGCGGAGAGCAGATGGTCGTGCTGGACACGCTGAGCGATCCGCGCTTCACGCAATCGGAGGCTGCGCAGGTCGGCGTCGTCTTCTACGTCGGCGTGCCGATTCTCAGCGAGGCCGGACTGCCTCTAGGTGCGTGTTGCAGTTGCACGCAGCCCAGCGCACGCTGATCCCAACGTGCTGCAGGTGTCCTGTCGCTGTCCGAAGTCGTAGCTCGTGAGGCCTGGACCCCGGCGGAGGGGCGGCTGCTCGCCGCGATGGCACGCGAGATCGAGGGCACGATTGCAAAGGTCCGCGAGCTCGATCACACGGCGCTCTGCGGGCAGCTCAGCCAGAGTGAGTATCGCGAGAGTACAACAGACCCTCAGCTGAGATGCTCGACTTGCAGGCTTTGCAAAGCTGGACCGCGCGCTGTCTGCCCACCTGGCCGGGAACGAAGACCTCGCTCGCGCAGGCGGCTCGGCTGGCCGCGCGTTCCGTGTGGTGCAGTCGAGGTCGCCGGGCAGCTCGATGCCTCCCGGTCCCGGCACTGCACCAGCACGCCCGCAAGTCGTGTCCAGCATCGCAGACGAGGTGACGATTGATGAGCGATCGGCAGCTGCAGGCTCGATAGGTCTCGATCGCAGCGCGTCTTCCAGCGCGCCAAAGGCGAGCGCATCGCTCGAGGGCGCCGTTCGAGCAGTAGCCGCTGCACTTCGGCTGGACGCAGTCTACTTTGCCAGCGCCGGTCGCATCTCGCATGTCCTGGCCGCGTGCGGTCTGCCGAGCGCCGCGCTGGAAGGCACCATCGAGCTCGACAGTCGCGCGCACACCAGCGCCCTGCACGCCCCGCTGGTCTACCAGGACGTGCACGTGGCACGACGCGACCGCGAGAGCCTGCCGTGGTGGTGCAGCGGCGGATTCGTGTCGGGCATGCTCGTCTCCTGCAGCACGAGTGCTGTCGAGTCGCTGTACCCGCCGAGCCCGACTGACCCGCTCGTCGTGCTGGTCGCTCTGAGCCGCGAGCGCACTCGCGTCTTCCGCACTGCCGGTACGTCGTGTCGCGCACTTGCCCGCCCCGTCGCTGTGCTCACAGACAGCTGCAACAGAGCTCGAGTACTTGCAGAAGGTCGCAGGCCTGGCTGCGCCGCTCTTGCCTGCGCCTGCGCGCGCGCTGCTGCTGCCCTCGGCGCTTCCGCCTCTTTCGTCCCCAACGCCCGAGATGCGTGGCGGGATGGGCAAGGCTCGCGACCTCGTGCTGGACCGAGAGCCACGCGACGCCTCGCTGGACGGACGAAACGAGTACGCATGCCGCGCAGAGGAAGGCGGTCTTCTCCTGAGCGGCCTGAGCCCGTCGGCGTCCACACCCTCGCTGGCGGCGTCCGTCGAGAGCGACATACTTGACGCCGCGTCGTCCAGCAGCGGCCTGGTTGGCTATCCGCTCGTCGCCAGGCCAGCGGTCTCCGCTCGTTCTGCTCGGCCCATCGCAAGCCTCTCGGCTCCTCAGCACCAGCCAAGCAGCGGACAGGGCGTGCCGCATTGCCAGACCTTTGGCACTGGCCGCGACACGGCACGCGAGCCCCTCCGCCTTGCCGCAGCGCCACGCACTGCCGACGACCATGCGTTCGAGCGCCGCGCTGTGGACACGTCGGCGATTCGGCGGCCACTGGCTCCTCTTTCGCTCCCGCACGCGTCGGGCAACTCCGGAGAGGCGCCGTCGCACCTGCTTGTGCGGCGAGGCTCGAGTGCCTTGCTCAAGGTCGCGCGCATGCGCACGCTCGCTGCCGGCGAAGACCAGGCGGCAGCTGCGAGAAGCGCCCGGCGCGGCTCCGTCCCGCGCTTCGACCAGCCGCAGCCAGATGCTCGCCCCCACGAGCGGACGACTGTGCGGCGTGCCGCGGCGCAAGAGCAGCAGAGCCCTGCCGTCGCCTCTGCCAGCAATTCGCCGCCAAGCGCCGCAGACGAGCTCGACATCCTGGCGCAGGAGGTCGCACAGATGCGGCGCGAGCGCCAGCGCGACCAGGAGCGCAGGCGGTTCGGCGAGCTGCCTATCGTGCACGTAGGGCGAGACGCGCGCACCACTCCGCTGTAGCAGCCTTGATCTCGCAGCGAGCGTGACCGCGAGGCACGACGCACCGGTGGATGGATAATAATACCAATTAGCGGAAGCGTCAGGCGTCGAGCGGCAGCGAGACAGTCTCGCCCTGGTCCGAGACGAGGAAGCGGCCCTTGCCGCTGGGCGACGCCGCGGCGTCGTAGTGCCCGTCGTGGGTGCGGATGAAGCGCATGCCGTCGCGCTCGCATGCGTCAAAGAGCATGCGCAGGTCCCCGCGTGTTTGTGCCGCGTTGCGCACGAACGTGCCGTCTGCGGGGCCAGATGCTGGGTCAGCGAGGGCGGGCTCGAGCGGACAGGGTCACACACAGTGGACGGCGAGACACGTCGGGCCTGACCTGGGCCCCCGCTTGCGTGCCTTGACGGCGGCATCGTCCGTCTCGCCCTCCAGCCGCATGATCTTGGCGCAGTCGACGCTGTCCTGCCCGTCCATGTGGATCGCGCTCTGCAGGAAGGGGACGTTCAGTGTCGCCTCGCGGCAGGCCAGCCGGGGCACAGCTCACCGTGAGGGGCGACTCGACGCGGGGCCAAGGACTGTAAGCGCGAGGAAAGGGATCGAAGGACCGTACGTAGCTCAGGCTCGAGCCCACAGAGATGGGGAGCAGCAGCAGATGCGGCACGCCGTAGCGGATGCTGATCTCGCGGAAGGCGGGGCACACGGGATACGCCGAGCGCGGCTTGCGGTTCTCGTTCTTAAACCGCAGGCCCGTGTCGCCGGCGAAGAAGACGCGATAGCGCTCGTCCTCGCTGGCCACGCGCTCGATAAGCCAGCTGCTCCAGAGCGTGACGTCCTTGTCGCCGGCGCCCCGCCCAGAGCCGTGCTGCGCCGGCGTGCACACGATGCGCATGCGCGATGCGCCGCCGAACTCGATCGCCGCCTCGTCCCACCAGTCAAGCTCGGAGACCTGGTCGTCGGCAAAGCCGGACTCGGTGAACCAGTGCTTGTTGCCCAGCGGCACGAGCACGTTGAGTGCCGAGCCGCGTGTCCGCAGCAGGTCGCGCAGCGAGTTGTAGTCCTGGTGGTCGTAGTGCGAGTGGCTGATCAGGCAGCCTGGATCGCGGATAAAGAAAGGCGTGCAGTGCGTAAGCAGCCATGCAGCAGCCGGCAACGAGTCGCCGTTGCACTCACAGTCGATCAAGGGGAAATTGTCGTCGTCGATGGAACATGGGGCCGGCGTGAAGCGGATCGGTCCGGCCGTCTGTGACGGGGAGCAGCGCTCGCTGAACACGGGGTCTATGAGCACGTTGAAGGCACGCTTGCTGCCGTCCGGCGCGCTGCCGAGCGGCGGAAAGGATATCAAGGTCGTGGCGTGTCCGAGCCACGTCACGCGCACGCCCTGTCCTCCGTCGTCTAGCCCTTCGCCCCAGTCTGGCTTGCGCACGGCAATGTCGCGCAGGCTCTCGCCGAGCTCCTGCAGGCGCTTGTCTGCCGCCTTGCCCTTGCCGCGGTACTTGCCCTTGCCCTCGCCCTCGTCGTAGCCGCGCGGCAGGCCCCACTTGAGACCTCCGTTGATCATGTCGTGCACCGTGGCTGCGCACCTCGCACATTCCGGTCAGACGTCGTCACGGCGGCAGCACCAAGGCACTCACGCTTGCGGAAGCTATCCCACGGGTTCTGGAACGTCAGTGCCGCGAGCGCGCCGTCGTTGAGATAGTCGTGCGTCTTGGCCTTGTCGCCCGGCTTGACCTTGGCCACGGCGGAGCGCACGACGCTGCGCACGCGCTGCGGCTTGCGCTTGCCCGCCGTGTCTGCGATGGACGCGGCGTCGGCCTGCGAGCCGCCCTGCGCGGGGTTGATGGTGCGTGCGGCGCGCCGCAGCAGCGAGTCGGACTGCACCGCCGCCCGGGCGACGAGCGTCGGCACGTGGTGCGACGGCAGCTGGTCGCGCGGCAGCGACGCCGCATCGCGCGCGGGATCGTCGGAGCGGCGCGTGAGCACGAGCGTGTAGCGCGCCTCGGCGTCGTCGTTGTGGCGCGGCTCGTCGGACGTGCTGAGCGAGTCGCGCGAGTGCGAGGAGGAGGCAGCCATCGTCGGCGGCGTGCGGTGGATGTGGGCGCGAGGCAGGGCTGCGTGGTCCTGTCCACTGCGGATGCATGCTGCGCGCTCGCTTGTGCAAGCACAGCCCGCCGGACCATGATGTCATGATCTGCAGAGCGCCAAGGAACGCTCCCACGCGGCCGAGCCGCACCCTCGGGCGCGGCGGCGGCGGCGGGCCATGATGTGTGTGCCGGCGGCAGGGGAGGCCGCTCACGCACCCTGGCCTGGGGCTGACCTGCATCCCTGGGTTCTTCTGCTGCGGGCAACGTACTAGGCGCCTCTCAGACGTACTCGAGATGGCATAAATTGTTCGTAAGACGTCAGAGAGCTGGACAAGAATAAGCAGCTAGTGCAGCACGCAGCTCCCCGGCACGCTCACGCCAGCGGACGCCGCAGAATCAAGTCGGACAGGCGGCGGCGCGAGCTCGACGAGTGCACGGGAGGGGTCTCGCCGATGCCGTGCGCGGCAGTCGGCGCAACGACAGCACCCTCGGCCCCTGCTCCACCGCCTGACGCAGCGGTGCCGATGATGGGCATGTCGCCGAGCGAGCGCACCGAGACGCGGCGCACGATCGGGCTCTGCGCCTGCGCCAGCAGCCACGAGCCGCGCCGATAGTCGCGCTCGCTCGCGCTCGTCGACGCCGCCGTGCGAGCCGAGAGCGGCGGCGGCAGCGTCGGGCTGGCGTCCCCCCACGAGCCCGCGCGACGCAGGTCTTCTGTGCCCGGCGTCAGGGGCGTCAGCTGCGCGGCGGGCGCAACTCTGGGAAAGTACGAGGCAGAGTCGGTGACCTGCGGCGAGAGCTGGATGCCCCGTGCCGCGGCGATCTGCTTGGCGCGCAACGGAGCCTCGGGCGATGCGCCGAGGGCCGCAAACGACTCGTTGGTCGACTTGGGACGCGCCTTGGCCGTGTCTGGCGATACAATGCGTGCCCAGTCTCGCGAGTGCGGAGAAGCGGAGCGATACGTCTCGGGCGTCTGCGGCGCGAGCAGCGCGTTGCCGTGCGTGCTCAGCCAGCCGGTGCCCACCTCGACGCTGCCGCGCGACAGCGTGTCGTCGTCGCGGAGCTCCTCCGTCAGCGCCGCGTCCGAGTCGTCCGTCGACTCCCTCTGCTGTACGGACGCCGAGCGAGGCCGGCCCGTCTTCGCTGGCGGCACGAGGTCCTTGAGCGCGTCGAAGCTGCCGACCTTGCGCGGCTGGAGCGCCTGGCCACTCAGGCCCTTGGCCTTGCGCGAGAACCACTTCGTCACCGACATGGCGCTTCCTCGCGTCGTCGCCTCGCCGGGCTGGGCGCCATCGAGCGAGGGCAGAGGAGGAGCTTTGTCCTGCGCGCCGCTCAGCTGCGGCGGCGGAGGCGGGGAGCGCAGCGCTCCGGAGCTGTGCCTGCTCTCGTCGCTCGGCCAGCGACTGCCCGGCTCATGGGTCTCCGCGGCGCCTGCGCGTCGTTGCGGCAGGAATGCTCGCTTCTTTGACGTGCCCCGCGGCGGCGGACAGGGAGCCTCGCGCGGATGACTGAACGGCACCGGCTCCTGGCGCGGCGGAGGCAGCGGCAGCGCATAGCCGTCGGCGGGCAGTGCATGAGCAGGCGCCGCCTTCTGCTTCTCGGCCTTCTTCGCGGACATCTCCACCACGGCGACGGGCGTGAGCGGCGTGCCGGCCTCAGAGTCGAAAGAGGTGAGCGCGACGAGCGCAGCAGCAGACAGCACGCCCTGCTGGTGCGCCTTGAGACGCTGCTCCTGGATCAACTTGCGACGCTGCTGGTGCTCCTGCGACGTGCGGGCGCCTCGCGAAAAGCTGTTGCTGCGCCCGTGAGTGGTCTGGCCCGTGGCCTCCGTCGTGCTATATTGCGAGTCCTCCGACGAGACGGCCCCTGAGCGTTGTGAGCCAGAAGAGCGCAGTGCCGAGGTCATGTCTCGTGTCTCGTCTGCCTGAGTGACAATGCTGCGCCCAGCTGGACCGGCAGTCGTTGCCGAGGGCATCGAGCGGTCGGCGCTGGCCCCAAGCGCGGCAGTGAGATCGCTGCGCAGCTGGAAGCCCCTGCTGTCGCTGCTGAGGTTCCAGCTCGAGGTTGCGCTGGACCAGTGGCTCTTGCCCAGCTGCGGCTGCGAATTCGACGTGAAGTCCTCGTGCCGCAAGGACGCGTCTGGGCTGCGGACGCCGGTCTTGCTCGGCACCGGGGGCGGAACTGCGTTGGCGCTGGCAGTGGCGCTGAGCTCGTCACGAGAGAGCCGCAGCATCCGGGCGTACTGGGCTCGCACTTGCCGCAGGGGCGTGCCATCGGGCGAACCGAACTGCGGCAGCGACAGGTCGCCGCCTTCGGGCGTGGCAGGCCCGTCGTTGCGCGCAAGGGAGATGTCGGCGGCGAGGTTGTGGCCGATGAGAGCTGCCAGCACTGACGTCGAGGCAGGTGTGTGGTCCGTGCTGCCGAGGTACCGGCGCGACGGCGTCGCGGGCGTGCTGGAAGACCATAATCAGCACGACATGACGGCCCGAGCGCACTGAGCGAGCAACTCACAGCGAGCGAGCAGAGTCGCCGTACAGATCGAGGATGGTAGCTGTCGTCGCCGGAGTCTCGGTCCGCGTGGCGTCCCGCGACGTTACCTGCCCGACGCCTGCGGAGCTGCGATGCGACAGGCTGCGGGTGTCCGAGACGAGCGTGCCCGTCGTGTCCCAGCCAGCTGAGGTGGCCGGCTCGGTGCACTCCTCGATCAGCGAGAGCTGGTGCGGCTCGGCGATGGGCTGTGGCAAGGGCTGGTAGTATGCGTCCTCGATCAGCTCGGCAGTCTCGTCGCCTTCGTAGTCGCGGTCCTCCGTCGTTGCATTCGTGCTGCGACTGGCATGGCCTAGCTGCTTCGCCTGCAGGAAGTTGCTGGCCCTCTCGATCAGAGTCGACGCGGAGACGGACATGGTCGAGTCTTCTGTAAGAGCGACTGGTCAGCCGGTGTCCTGGGCCTGCACGACGCAGGTGAGAGAGCCTCACCACTCAGATCTTGCGTCAGAATCGCACGCTCTGTGCTACCAAAAGCAAGCTGCGTCCCAAAGTCACCTTCGGAAGGGGCTGCCGAAGGCGGCTCCATGAAGGACTTGAGCTCGGGCGAGCCAGAGACCTTGGTCTCTACACAGAGCGGCTCGAGCTGCCTCGGGCCGTTCGGCGCGACTCTGCGCTCGGGCTGCAGGCTGACTCGTCGCGACGGCGGGTCGATGAAGGTCGAGTCGAGGTGGATCTCGATGCCGCCGAGCTCGCTCTGCGACCGACGCTGACGGGGCGTCGATGCCGTCGCGCCTGGACTGCAGTCCGAGCCTTCCTCGAGCTCGGCACTCGGCACGTCGAGCTCGAAGCGAAAGCTCGGCGACGCCTCCTCTTTGTCAGAGCTGGCGTCCGACGGCGGTGCCGCCACCGACAAGGCCTTGGCCGAGCTCGCCGAGCGCGGTACCTGGTCGGGCGCAGCCGAGGCCGCCGGTGCGTACAGCTCGAAACTGCGCCTGTCCTGGCAGTGCAGGCCTTCTGTGGCAGTCTCGGCCTCGAAGCTTGAGTCCAGCCCGGCAAAGTCCTCTACGGGTGTGTACATGTCGCGCCGCGACGTCGGGCGGCTGACTGACTCCGCAAGGAGATGCCCGCCGATTCGTGACGGCACCGCAGCAGACACACGGTGGCTTGCCGGCGAGCCGAGGGCAATGCCCATGCCCTCAGAGGGGCTGCAGCTCGTCGGCGTCAGGTTGGGATCCACAAAGGACGCGCGTCGCGCCTGCAGTCCGCTCGTCTCGGCCTGCGACTCGTCTGCGGTCAGCAGCTCGTCGGTGTCTGTCTCAGGGTGCGGCGTGGCGGCGACCGTGCTGATCGCCAGGTGCAGCGCCTCGCCGGCGGTGCGCAAGGCTGCCTCGGCCTGGCGCACGGCGCCGAGGGCGCTGAGCAGCGCGTCGCGCGAGCGAGTCGCAGTTTGCGAGCCGGCGGGCATGCTCCAGCGAGGCGCATTCGAGGCGGCGCGCGGCGTGGGCGCAGCCGCCTCGCCGTCGGATGCCGAGGAGTCGTCGGCGTACTCGACGGGCTGCAGCCACGGCCCGGTGTAGGAGCGTCGCTGCGAGGCTGGAGCAGCAGGCTGAGAGCGCAGCTCGCCCGGGCCAGCGGCGCCGTTGCGGGCGGCAGCGCTGCCGTTCATGGCGTGTGCCGAGGCCGGCGACGGGATCTTGCCGAGCGATGCGCTCTGGCGATAGCCGCTTGGCGCCGTGCGCATGTGCGACGGGGGAGTAGACGTCTGCGCTGGCGGCATCGCTGGCCTGCGAAGCGACACCAGGGAGTGGGGATGAGTAGGAAAGGTGACACCGCCGGCGACTCCCCCAGTCGATGCTGATGCCCTGCCCCTCACCGGGCCGCCAGAGCGATGCTGCCTGCGCGCTGCCTTGTCTCCTCAAGGTGCGCCATCATGCCGCGCTGCCTCGCGGGACGGCCCCTGAGAGCCGGCGCTGGCTCTGCTCGTCGCACATCAGCGGCCTGCGCATGAGATGATGATGCCGCCCGCCACAGCGTGCTCGCGTCTCTCACTGCGGCACCTGGAGTCGAGCCGACTCAGCCCGATGGCGATATAGCGACTGCAGCTCGAGAGGTCTTGGGCTAGCACCTAATCGCCCCCCAGAAGAGCCACACAGCGCAACGCAGGTGCGGTCAGGAGCTTTCCGCCTTTCGTCGGCACCAGAGACATCGCCCATCAGTGGGCCTCCGCAAGCGCGACATGCTGACAGCGCGCTTTCTTGATGCTGCATCTGGATTTTGAGGCATACTCCTGCCCGGAAGGTGCGTTGCGTCGTTGCGCTGAGGCAGGAAGGAGGCGCAGGCGAGGGCCTCTGGAGGAGGGCGAGGACGCGCTGCTTACGTAAAGCCGCGCGCGCGCGGGTGTTATTCGAGCGTGACGCGCCGCGGCCGGCGGCGACTTGTCGTGTTGGGCTCTCTCGTCTGCTGCGCTGAGCGGCTGCGCTGCGCCGCCGCCGCCGTTTGGTGATGATCTACCTCGCGCCTCGCCGTGCTGCGGCGGTCGCAGCCCGCGCGGCGCTTCCTGTCTTCTGGTCTCGACCGCCTCCACTCTGTGCCCGCCCGCGAGCCGCCATCACATCCCCCTCGCCCCCGCTGCTGCTCCACGCCGAGCGTCGCGCAGCTGCGTGCCCTCGCTGCCTCTCCCTCCGTGCTCCACCCTTGCTCTCTGCGTCCTGCAGCTGCCCCGCGCCCCCACCTTCCAGCTCGTCGCCGCCTCTTCGTCCCTGCCCTTCACCGCCCACGGGCGCGCAGCCTCGCATCCGCATCGCCACCTGTCCGCAGCCAGCCGTCGCGCTGCCCGTCTTGCCGCGGCAGGGCCATCGCAGCGCCGTCGTCGCCAGCCATGGCTCCCTCGACGCCCTCCACCTCGCGTGCGGCGCCCCGCGAGGGCACGCTGTCGCCAGCTGCTCCCTCGCTCCACATCCAGCCGGCGCAAGCCGCTGTGCCCGGCCCGGACGACTCTGACTTCCTCGACTCCGACGACGACGTCGCCCCATCCGGCCGCGCAGCGAGCCGCGACGAGGTGGAGGACGTGTGCGCGCCTGCCACGAGCGAAGCCTCGGGCGCAACCGAGGATGCGGCCATGTATGACTTCCCGAACTCCAGCGGTGCGTGATCCCGTCCAGCGGCGCAGAGAGGATGCTGACTCGCTCGCGCAGCTCCCTCGAGCACACGGTCCGCCGCAGTGCGCGCCGTGATGCCGCTGCACCCGCTCATTCCCATCGCGCCGGCGCTGTCCTTCACCTTCTTCGCCGCGCCGCCGTCGACCGCGACGCTCAACGTCCACAACGGCAGTCGCAGTGCGCTGCTGCCGCCCGGCGTGCAGGATGCCCCTCACCCGCAGGCGCTGGACAGCGACGGCGGCGTCGGCGGCTTCGAGCGCTACACGTGGTTCAGCATCGACGACGACCTCGTGTACCTCTCCTTCTACGAAGACTGGGGCCCGCTCAACATCGCCATGTTCTACCGCTTCTGCCTGCATGTGCATCATCTCATGGAGGTGCGATGCCCGCAGGTCATGCGTGCCCTCCACCCGGCTGACGTCCACCCGCACAGAGCGACTCGGCTGCGCATCTCGTGCTGTACACGAGCAGTGCGCCGCAACAAAAGGCCAACGCAGCACTGCTCGTCGCACTGTACAGCATGATCATCGAGCGGCAGCCCGTCGCAGATGCCTTTCATCCGTTCAGCCAGGTGAGTCCGAGCAGCTTGGACATGGCAAAAGCGTAGGCCCCGCCACTGGACGTCATGTACGGCGCGAACAGCTGTCGAGCCGCTGGACTGACCGCTCCCCACCACAGATCGAGTTCCAGCCGTTCCGTGACGCTGGCTACGGCCGTGCCGACTTCCACCTCTCGCTGCAAGACGTGCTGCACGGTGTCTCGCGCGCGCTCCAGTGCGAGCTGCTCAACCTCTCGGCTTTCAATCTCGACGAGTACGAGCACTACGAGCAGGTGGCCAACGGCGACTGGAACTGGCTCACGCCGAACTTCATCGCCTTCGCCTCGCCCAACGACCGCGAGTACACGAACGCGCTGCGGGCCACGATGGAGGGGCGGCCGAGCCGCAGCCTGCGCCGGCCTATCCCCGAGACGTTCCGCAACACCATCCGCTACTTCCGCGACCGCGGCGTGGGCGCCGTTGTGCGCCTCAACAATCCTCTGTACGACCGCGCCGAGTTCGAGAACGCGGGCATCAAGCACGTCGTGAGTGGCAGCAGCGGGACCACACAGAAAGCAGCGCTGACCAGCTGCTTGTGCAGGACATGTACTTCGACGACGGCTCCAACCCGTCCGAGGAGATCCTGCGCGACTTCATCGCGCTCGCGGACGCCCAGATTGCGGCCGGCCGCGTCGTGGCGGTGCACTGCAAGGCCGGCCTCGGCCGCACCGGCGTGCTCATCGGCGCGTACCTCATCTGGCGCCACGGCTTCTCGGCCAGCGAGGTCATCGGCTTCATGCGCTTCATGCGGCCGGGCTGCGTCGTCGGGCCGCAGCAGCACTTCATGTACGAGAACGCGACGGAGTGGGTGCGGTGGCGCGTGCGCCACGAGATGCGCCTGGAGCTCGCAAAGGAGCTCGCCGAGGTGGAAGCCAAGGCCGCGACGGCGACGGCAGCCAGTGCAGCGGCAGGATCTGTCAACGAGCTGCGCACAAGCCGGAAGCGATCGGCAGACGAGCACGATGGCGAGACGGAAGGCGACGCCGCATCGGCAGAGCAGCCCACGACACCGCGCAACAAGCGCGCCAACCTTGCGCCGCCAGTGGAGGCCGGTGCAAACACCTCGGGGGCCGGGAGCAGCACCGGCGCTCCGGCTGTCAAGCCGACACCGTGCGTGGGCCAGCCACGCAAGTCACCCAGTCCGGCGCGCAAGCGCCCGGCCAACCAGGCTCGCGCTCCGAGCGGCGCCTCCTCGCGCGTGCCGAGCGCCGGCAGTGTGCGTGCTGGACACGCCCCGGGTCCGAGTGCACTTGCTGCACCCGCGCCGGCTGCTGCACCGACGCCCCGGGCGCCTGGCACAGGCTACATGCCGCGTTCTGTCTCCGACGAGAGCATCCGCGCTGCCGCAGCGGCGGCCGCAGCAGGCAGCGCCTCGAGCGCTAGCTCAGGTGCAGGAGCCAGCTCCAGCTCTGGGCGCACTCACGGCGGCAGCAACAGCGGCGGCGCTCGCGTGCCTGGCACGCCTGGCCCATCTGCTCGCCTCGAGGCGGCGGCACTTGCCGCGCCGGGCACGCCGGGCCGTGTGCTCGGCGAGGCGCAGCGCCTCAATGTGCAAGCTGGTGTCGGCATCGCCGCCATGCCGCACACGCCGCCGACGAGTGGCACGAGCGTGCTCGCTCGTGTGAAGGCGGCAACAGTCGGCCGCGTGCGACACGGCCACGAGCGCTCGCGAAGCGCCCTTGCCGGAGCGGCAACGTTCGCACCGCCTTCAGCGCTCGAGGATGTGTTCCTCGACTCGCTGCCGGCCTCGCTGCCGGCACCCGACACTCCCACGACGCCGCGCTCACTCGCAAGTCGCATGCCGACGTTCCGCGCCAGCCCTCTCATCAAGAGCAAGTACGGTCTGCGCGACACGTCCGAAGACGCGGGAGCGGAGAACCTGGCTCCTGCGCCAGCAAGTGCTCCCGTCAGCGGCGCCGTCAAGGCAGCACCATCTTCCCAGCACGCCCGCTCTCAGACAGCCCAGCCGCGCTCAGGCTCGGGCAGCGCAAGTCTCGATGCCAGGCGCAAGGCCAGCGGCGGCAGCACTCGCAGCGCGGTCCCAAGCACCAGCAGCAGCAACAGCAGCAGCACCGGGTCGACCCGTGGTGCCGTGCGTGCCGCCACTTCGCGCTACGCAGCGCCTACGGCGGCCTCGACTGCCGCCGCCACAGCGGCCCGGCGCGCGCGACTCGACCCCAAAGCGGCGCCGCATCCCTACGCCGCCGGCCGCACCGCTGTGCCGGCTGCGCTGCCGCACGTGCAACGCATCGGCAGAAGCGTGCGCGGACGGCGCAGCAGCGTTGGCGAGGCTGACTGCGTCTGACCGGTGCGCTGCACCCTCCTCTCTCTCCCTCTTGCACCCCCGTTAGACAGCTCTAGCGCTGATTCCCGTCCCCGTCCCCTCTTTGCGCTCTGACCCGCCTGTCGCTAACGCTACACTGCACCATTGCTCCTTCCCGTCGCGGCTCAATCCATGTCACCGTCCTCTGCTTACGTGTGCTTGTATGCGTGCATTGCAGCTCATCGCTGCCCCTTGCGCATGAGGTTGCGCCGCACGCGCCGGCGTCCGAGGCCGAGCGGGGTCTCGGCGCCGTCGTCGTCTTGCGTCCACTCGACGTAGGGCACCTGTGCGCGCGGCACGCCGGCCAGAAGCGGCGGAGGAGCGGCACCCGTCGTCGCAGCCTGCACATGTGCGGCATCGAGACTGGCCCACACTGGCACATCGATGGCCCCGCGCACCAGCGCGAAATGTCCGCGTGCGTCGCGCAGTTGCGCTGCCGCGGCGCTTGTGAGCAGAGACAGCTGCCCACGAGGGACGTCGATGGCGCGCAGGACAGCCAGAGCGACGCAGTGCGAACTTGCTGGCTCGGGCAGAGGCTGTACGAGGGCTCGGTCCCACGGCTGTTGCAGCCCGAAGTGAGAAGGAGGATGCGAGTCTTGGGCGGCGCGGTCCACCTCATCGAGTCGCACGATGGCTACGAGCGAGGCATTGAGCACAGCGAGTCGCAGCGCTGGTGCGACGCTCGCCACAAAGGGCAGCACATGCAGCCCGCCGGCCAAGCCTTGCTGCACATCGACGAGGACCGGTCGCATCTCGCACAGCGGCCGCTCGAAGTCGAAGCGCGTGCAGACTTGTCCCGACACCGGCCTGGCGTGCAAGTGCGCCAGCAACGCCAAGATCCGCCCGTCGGCAGGCGTGCTCCGCGCCGCAACGCGGGCTCCGTAGAGCGGCACAATCGTTGGCGCAGCTCCGAGTAGTGCACCCGAGCCGTCATAGTACGGCTCACCTTGGCAAGGTCGCATGCTCTCTGCCTCGGCGAGCGCCTCGGCCTCGTCGTCTTGCCCCGAGTCGACATCTGCGTCGCCGTCCGGACCGGTCACCGCTTCGGGAGCCGCGCGCATGTCGATGATGAGAGTCGGACAGGCGAGGTGTTCCAGGCGCGACGCCAGATCCGCACCGAGGCCCTTCACCCAGCCCGGTGTGTTGACGATCAGCGGCATGGTCTGCGATGCATTCTCGCGCGCATAGAAGCCGAGCAGCTCTTCGAGCATCGCCAGGTAGCGTGCCGGCTCGTCGCGCGGCGTGGTGTCGCCAAGAAAGTGCGCACGCGCAGGTGTGTGCGCGAGTGTCCAGCCGGGTGCTAGTTGCAGCTCGTCACCCAGACCTTCCTTGGCGTGTCGCTCGAAGATGTGCAGCGCCAAAATCCCTGGGGGCCCGAACTCGCCTTGCCCCGGATCTGCATCGAGCCAGGCGACGCGTGTGGCTCCTTCTCGTGAGAGAAGGGCAGCTAATGCGAGGCGAGCAAAGGTAGACTTGCCAAGGCGCTTGGCCCCGCGAACGAGCAGCACTGGCGGTCCGGGCGCGAGCTGTTGGAGCGGAACTTGCGGTGCCAGACCGGACAGATGCGCAAGCACTGTCTCCCACGCGTCGGGCTGGGCCAGAAGCGCTGCGCCTCGCGGAGCGCCCAAGACGAGATGCACGCCGGCGGGCAGCGCCCGGACAAGCTGCTCTTCCTCCTGGCCTCGGTGCCCGCCAGTCGCGGCAGATTCGGAGGCGTCTCCAAACGGGTCGATGCCGGCCAGCGCACAGACATTCGGCAAGTGATGCAAGCCGCAGTCTGGTGCAGCACCCAGGCGAACGATGACCGCGAATAGCGAGGTATCGAGAACCGAGGTCGGCGTCGAGGAGCAGCGAGCGCTGGAATGAGGTTTCGGCTGTGAGAGGGCTCGCAAAACTGGCAGAGGCGACGACTTTGGTGCGAGAACTCGTATCCGATCTGGAGCTCTCAGCCGCGCGCCAGAGATCGTCGCCTGCCCGTGCAGAAGGCGCAAACGTGCTTGGCCGCTGAAGGCGAGTGTCTGTGCCGCAGGGCGTTAGCAGCAGCTCCCTCGCACCGGACAGCCGGACCCGTGCCTGAGCCCGCTCTGCCTTGCGTGGCGCTGCCCTCCGCTATCTCACCTCGTCTGCGTGCAAGCCCACGTCTATGTCGCTGCCACCTTCCACCGGCGCCCAGTTCCTGCGCGCTCCACTGGCCAGGGGCTGCCAGGTGAGGGCAGCTTCCGAGACTCCTGGCCCCGCTCGCTCATCGGGCCAGGCTGGCGCGCTGGAGGCAGCATTCGGCAATGCAGATGCCGAAGAGGAAGCGGCGGCAGCACCAGTCGCCAGTGCCTGCTTGCGGCGCTTGCGCGGCGAGGTGCCCGGCTGAGCGCTCGCGCTGCTCTCCGCCGTGAGGGCAGACGTGGCCGCAGCAGCGCTGCTTCCGCTTCCGCCTGCCTCTGCCGCCTGCAGCTCCGCCGCCGCTGCCGCTGCCGAAGCCAGGCGCGCCCGATGAGCGGCCAGAGCGGACATGTGTCGGCAGTGAGAGGTGTCGCCGTGGGCTCGAGGCGCGCCGGCCGCAGGGATGGAGTGGTACGGAAGCAAGCGAGAGGAGGCGCAGGTGCACATCAAAAGTTGCGCAGCGCGCGCCGCGCCTTCTGCCCGAGTGCCGAGGTGTCGCGTCGCAGCCATCTGCGCATGACGCTCGACTTCTTGCCGCCGCACCTCCACCACCGCTGCCCCCGTCTGCCGCAAGCCCTGCCGGCGCCAGCCACGGCACAGCGCCCCGCCCGCAACGCCGAGATGCTGAGACGCAGCGCATCTGAGAGCGCTGGCGCGGCTGGGAGTGCAGCTGCTGCGGCGCTGGCCTGCCTGCATACCGCTCCCGCACGCCCGCGCCGCTGCTGGCCCTCGGCGTCGGCGCCTGTGCCGCCGCATCACTCGTGTGCAGCGGGACGGCGCCCCTTCTCGCACTTGACGATCGCAGCGTCGGCACCGTCCTCGTCTGGGTCAAGCAGCCGCCATGAGCGGACGGCTGCCACGCCTGCGGGCCGGCCGAGCAGGAGCCAAGCATCGTCTGCTCCGACGACGCCTCACCACTCGGCCGTGGCTCCGAGCAGTGCTGGTGACGCGCCCCTGTACCCGACCTCGCGCGCACACCTGTCGCCCGCACGGCTTCCGGCACTGTTCGCCCACTCGCGTCCTTCTCCGAGAGCAGCGCCGGACCCGCGCTCATCGCCGAAAGTGACGCCGGACGAGCCGGACGAGCACGTTGGCATCGACAGGCTTCTGCGCCGCGAGAGGCCGCCGATTGCAGAGTGGAGCGGCTTCTGGGCAGAGGACCCGTTCCGCGACCCCGAGCGCGCCTCTTTGGCCTCTGCGAAGCAGCACATGCTCCGCAGCGATGCTCTGCCTCACGCTCGAGGCGTCTTTCTTGCCGCGCGCGGCATGCGCGCACGCGTTGCCCAGCGTCTCCGCTCCGAGGCTGGGCCACAGAGCCCGGGCACTGCTTCGCCAGCGTCGTCTGCCCCAGGCGTATCGCTGCCAGTCCATGCAGCTCCCCCTCCTTCGGTTTACTACCCTCTCTTGCGCCACGCGCCCCCGCCGGCAACGCCGCTCATCTTCGACGACTACTGCGCCTTCCACGAGCCGGACACGCATGCGTTCAATCTTCTCTTGCGGCGCCACGTCGCGCTCGGCGACGCTGAGGCCGTGCATGCGACGAGCGCAAGCTTGGCCAGCCGGAGTCTCGACGGCGCGGACGAGCACGTCGGGACGCCCTCTGCCGCGCTTCTTAGTCCAAGCTGGACCGCGAGCTGGACGCCTGCGACCTGGGCTCTGATGCTGAAGCATGCTACCGACATAGAGGCACACACTCCCGAGCATCTCCTGGTTCTCCTCGGCGCCGTGCCCACGGAGCTGTTGCCGCAGCTGCTCACGCCACAGCTCCAGCTCGATATCATCGGCATGCTGGCTGCCATGCGCGAGGCGCGCCTGGCGGTCGAGCTCGCCACCTGGATGCAAGGCCGCGCGGCGGACAAGGGCACCATCGTCCAGAGAGGGCAGATGTGGGAGCTCGTGCTGCGCGTGGGCGCCGAAGAGAGATGGGTGCGTCCTCTGCCCTGCCCTGCATGCGCTGGCTCACACATCAGTGGCAGTACCCGGCGGTCAAGCACGGCTACGAGGGAGCCTCAGTGTCAGGCCGCCTCCTATCGTCGCTCGACAGCGGCTATCTGCTCTCCGTGCTCGCGGCGTGTGCCCGGGCAGGCGACCCTGTCCTCGCCGAAGAGGTCCTGCAGCAGTCCCTCGCGGGTCGATCGCCGAATCATCCCCAACTCGAGGCGCTCTACATCGCGCACTGCAACGCGGCCAGCTTCGAGGGGGCGCTGCACGTGCTCGGCAAGCTCGACGATCTGGACGGCCCTGACAGCGGCGGAGACGCACACGCCCATCTCGTCAAGCCCCTGGTCAGGTCGGCCGGCAAGAGCGAGCTTCTGTGGAAGCAGGCGCATGCGGCGTGGAGGCGGGTCGGCACAGATGCCGGCCCCGACGGCGGCGTCACAACAGCGGGCATGAACGGCCTGCTGCGGGCGGCACGCGCCCTCGGCCTGCACAGCCACGCGCACGCCCTGTACGCCAGCCGTGCGAAGCTCAGAGCTCGGCGCGGGCGACGAGCCGGCGCCACGCACAGCGACGCGCAAGCATCTTCGCAGGGCGCAGAGCACACACTGCAGCCGAACCTGCACACGTTCCACGGACTGCTGCGCTGCTGCCTCGACACGGGCGACAGCGCCGGCGGCCGTGCACTGCTGACGGCAATGGCCCAGCACCGCCCGGTGCTCGTCGGCACCACCAACACCTACGAGCTCGCCGTCCGGCTGCTGTGCCTGACGGACAAGTACGCCGGCGCCTTCGAGTACATCGCGGAGGCAGAGCGCAGAGGCACGCGAGTCTCGCGCCTCACCCTCGAGGTGCTTCGCGACACGTGCAAGCGCTATGGAGACGCCCGAGAGGCTGAGCTGGACGAGCAGCTGGCAGCGAGAGTCCACCAATGACATGTGATCACTGTCCCTGCGCCGTGCCTGCTGCCGTCCTGTCGGACCCGCTGATGACACCCGGACGCACGCGTAGCACACCCTCGGCCGATCTGCATGTGCAAGGCCGTCGCGGCTATCTAGCAAACGCGAGATCGCCCACCTCATGCGCCACCGAGCGGCGCACTTGACAGAGGGAACAATTGACGCCCGGCGCGCGCACAAGTGATTCTCGCTGAAAATGAGCGGCAAATCATCGCGTCTGCGGCGTCTGCCGCCCGTCTTTTGTGCTCAGCCGCGTGTAGCGGCGCTTGCGCGATAGTTTTGGCGCGCGCTGCGTGCGTGTGACCAGCTTCTGATGCTTGCGCGCCCCAGCGATAGTGCAGTTGAAGTCTGAGCCGCCCGCTTCATCCGTCTCTGACCCACGCTAGGAACGCCCAAATGGCTCGTCCAGTGGCACCGTGTAGATGAAGTGCGCTTGAGATGTACGGCAGTAGCAGCTCACACTGTCGTCACGAGTGCGCTCAGTCATCTCTCGCATTGCCCGCGAGGTGCAGTATGGCTCTGCCCATTCACAGCGCAAGGGATGTCAGCAGAAGTCCGTACTCAGTCGGGTGCGCGACGTCTGTCAGCGCTGTCCTGCCTGCAGGAGCCCTACAGTGGTGACACAAACAGCAGGGAGAGGGCAGCAGACGGCTTTGGCGGAGTGTCCGCGAGGAGGAGTGTGGCGCAGGGCGTAGCAGGCCGACCAGATGTCTGACCGGCACACCAGAACAGGAACGGGCAGTAGCGACACAAAGTCCGCTCTCAGACAATGCTGGGGGTCTGAGCGGGATGTAGAGAGCCCTAGAGAGTCTCCTGCCGCTTCTACCATAGTCAGCAGACGGTGCAGCGATGCAGCAGCCAGGAGAGCGCGGCGCGGAGGCAGGGCGTGCGCTGGCTGCTGAGCGCCGCGCGGGACGCACCCGGCAGCGCGCGGCGCGTGGCGCGCGAAGATGACGTAAGCAACGCATCCCCGCACTAGCGCCGCGCCGGACGCGCCGCCGCGCGCTGCCTCCACTTGGCCTCCTTGGTTCTCACCCTCACCACTCGCAGCCCGACGCCGCCAGACTACCGTCACCACTCGACTCCTGGGCACACGACTCGTCCTCCATACTGTTACCGCCCTCGACCGGTCATGGCGTCCCGCCGCGTCTCCCGCGCTCTCTTTGTGCCCTCTCCTCGCCCAGGCGCAGCGGCCGCTGGCCCCTCGGCCGCCGCAGCCGCCTCTGTGCCAGCGGCCCATGCGTACTCACTGCGCACGCGCAGTGCTCCATCCACAGCACCTCGCAGTGACGAGGACGAGCCGGAAGACATCAAGCCCAAGGGCAAGGGCCGGCAGAAGGATGGCGCCGACGATGCAGCCTACTCCGACTCAGCCGTGAAGCGGGCTGCGCCCAGCGCCTCGCCGGCCAAGCGGCGCTCCAGTGCATCCGCCTCGCCGAACAAGAAGATCGCCGGCATCAAGCGTGCAGCAGACTCGCCTGAGCCGCTCTCTCCGCGCAAGACGAAGCTGCCTCCCAAGCTCGAGCTCTCGCAGGAGGAGACCCTCCCGCCGCCGCCACACTGGGAGGAGACGCTGCGTGTCTTGAGCGCACAGCGCACACGCATCGTCGCTCCAGTCGATACGATGGGCTGCGAAGAGAACGGGAGAGAGGAGAGAAGGGCGGACGCCGGCCGGGAGCGTGAAAGCGACGAGGAGGAGAAGAAGAGAGAGCGCCTGGCAGTGCTGATCGGGCTGATGCTGAGCTCCCAGGTGAGTGGCCTGCGGCACGTCGCATCTTGCGAGCGGCTGCAGCAGTCCTGTCAGAGTCCTTCATCGCTGACTCCATCTGCTTGTCCTTGATCTGCAGACGAAGGATCCAGTCACAGCTGCCGCGGTTCGCGCGCTGCAGACAGGGCTGCCGGGTGGCCTGCATCTGGATGCCCTGCTCACCGTCTCGCCGGAGTTGCTCAACGGGCTGATCAGCAAGGTCGGCTTCCACAACCGCAAGACGCACTACATCCGCTCCGTCGCTGCGCTGCTCGCGTCTGACTTCGGCGGCGACGTGCCGCGCACGCTGGCCGATCTGTGCAGCCTGCCGGGCGTCGGGCCCAAGATGGCCTTCCTCGCGCTGCAGGGTGCCTGGGGCGAGAACGTGGGCATCGGCGTCGACACGCACGTCCATCGCCTGACCAACAGGCTGGGCTGGGGCCCAACAAAGGATGCAGAGGGAACGCGGCTGCGGCTGCAGTCCTTCCTGCCGAAGTCGGTGAGTGGCAGTGCAACGCGCACACCTCCCAGCGCTGGCTCACGCCATGCCAGCTGCATCGCAGCATCAACAAGACGCTGGTCGGCTTCGGGCAGATCATCTGCGTGCCCATCGGGCCTCGCTGCGAGTGCGTCGCCGCTCAGTGCTCGCACGCCTGCCTCTGCACTGACACTCGCCGGCACAGTCTCTGCGACCTTGCACCCACAGGCCTGTGTCCCTCAGTCCGCACGCTCGACCCCAAGCGCGCAGCCGCGCGCGTCAAGGTCGAGCTCCTGCCGCTGGCCAAGGAGGAGGTGAAGCAAGAGGAGCAGCTTGAGGCGGAAGCAGAACAGCAGATACGCGCCGGCGGCGTCAAGAAGGAGAAGCTCGCCTGGTGACGCGGCTGCAATGGGATTGGCGTACAAGCAAAGGCGGACAGGAGGTGCAAGTACGGCACATGAAGAGGAACTGGACCAACGACGACGCCAGCGCACGGTGGTGGGAACGCAAGCAAGATCACTCGGGCTGGCGGCGGCGAGCTCGCCGAGGAGGAGCAAGGGCAGTGAAGGGCAGCGAGCGCGTCTCTTCGTCCTCCTCGCGTGTCCAGCCGGCGTCGTGAAGCGTGGGCGGCAGCGACGAAGCGGAGAAGGCGGAGAGTGAGAGGAATGGCGTGCCGTGACCCTGGCCGGAGGGGAGCAGCGGTGCCGGAGAAGTCGGGTGCGAGTGGTAAGCGGACGTGATGGGCGACAGGTCGGAGTCGCGGGAACGCGTTGTCTGGGTCGATCCAAAGCTCTGGCCCCGCTGAATGCCGTCGCCGTCGCCGAACATGACCCGGGCGCAGTCAGCGCTCACCGGTGGGCGCGGGCTTGGCTTCTCGCTGTCGAAACGCTCGCTGATGCCCGCGCTCAGACTGCCGCCGGCGTGTGCGGCGCGCTGCTGCTCGAGTCGAGTGATGCGCTCGTGCAGCGCGCGCAGCTGCGTCATGCTGGCCACCTTGCTCTCCTCGGCCTCGCGCAATGCCGTTGCGGCGCGTGTCGTCTCTCGGAACACGCCACCGGCAAGAGCGGCGCTGACGGCGCCGAGACCGAGCACCGACACGGCACGATAGACGCTGGGCAGGTTCGACTTCCAGCACGCAAGCGCCGCGATTGCTGAGACGGTGAGGAGCGAGAAGTCGTAGAGGCCCTGCTCGAGCAGATCGACGGCGATGCGGTTCGGACGGTCCGGCGTGCTGTGCTTCGCCGAGCCCTTCGCAGCAGGGCAGAGGCGCGAGAAGATGGAGGCAGAGGCGAAGAACTTGTGGTCGGGCGCCGTGTACATCTTCTTCACCGTCAGCGCAAGGATGATGCAGTCGAAGGCGACAATCGAGGACAGCACCGCGTCGACGGCGGTGTCGTCGGAATTACGCTGGTGCAGGGTGCAGCGAGCGGAGAGGCCGGGCGGGCGGAGCGCCTCGACGAAGAACGGCGCCGCGATGCCGCACGCCAGGATGCTCAGCCAGCCGAGGAAGAGCACGCCAGCAACGAGCCAGTCGGAGCGCGTGTGGCCGGGATACAGCGCCAGTGTGCGCACGAAGAGCACCGTCACGGTGCACACGTACGAGGCGGCGAGGGTGCCCTCGATGAGTCGCGGCAGCTGGTTGCACACGGCGTCGGACGACGGCCAGCCGAGCATGCGGATGCAGAGGGCCAGCGCGATCAGGGCCAGCCAGCGCGAGCACAGGTAGGCGATGCGGCTGACGGCGCGCACGGCAGAGCTCCAGCCGGGCGAGCGCAGGAGCTGCAGGTCGAATGGCAGGCCGACGACCACGTCCCAGCCGACGCAGCCGGCGAAGATGCTGTAGCAGATGAGCGCCGTCTGCAGGCGCAGCAGGCCGGCGCTGTCGAGCAGCGGCGAGAGGTCCATGGTGAGAAGTGAAGATGAGGGAGTGGAGATGGGACGAGGTGTGCCGCCGACTCAGCCCCGGTGTGGAGAGGAGGTGGTGGTCAGAGGCGAGAGACACGCTGGGACGTCGTGCTTATGAGGGTGGGCAGAGCAGCGCCGAGATCGAGGGGAAGAGCAAGGCTGCTGGTCGCCGAACATTGCGTGTGGGACCTGGGCACAGGAGCTGTGGCACGTTTAACCCCTCTTCCAGCGCAAGGCAAGCCCATGCTTCCTATCGCTTGTGGCAGCACCCAGCATCAGCACGGGCAGGCGCACAGGTGTAGCGCTCGCCGCTCTTGGCTGCGCCGTCCAGGCACATATGGCGCGCCACTGCGCGAGGCACGACGGCGCAGCCGGCACTCATCCGCCCCCTGAGCGCATCTCCGCGGAAGCGCCGCAGCAGCAGCAGGTGCAGGCGCACCCAGCGCAGCCTGCATCTGCTTGCCGAGTGCTGCACTCCGCACTCTAGGGTGATCACAGCGGGGGCTGCGATCAGTGAGGTAAGCGCAGTGCCTCGCGCCTGCCCCCAAGCGATCTGCCTGTGACGGACGCTGGCGGCGTGGCGCGTCGGTGCTCAGGGGGCTCCCGGTGGCGCCGCAACACAAATCACTCGGCACTCCAGAGGAGGCGCTATGAGACCCAGAGGAGGCGCTGTGAGACGAAACGGGCATCGGCAGACGGCATTCAGATCGGCACGACCGAGCAAGCTCCGGTGCCGCTGCTATCTCTGATGCTGCACCTGCCGCACTCTCGGCGGCGGCCTCCCGCGCTCTTCAGAGAGGGGCACACTCGCGCTTCGCACGCGCCGCGGCGGTCAAACGTCCTGAGAATAGCAGCCAAGGGGGGGCAGAACGTGCGAGGTGGGGCAATCGCGAGGGGCCCGAGGAGTGGCAATGGTCACACACCCTGCTCTGGGGCGAGCCATCAGAGAGTCGCCCGCTATCGCTCCAATGCTTTTATCACGAGTCCAAACGTGGCACACTTCGCAAGTGCGCGAGGAGACTGCCGGCATCGGGCTCAAACACGAGGCGAGGGAAGGAGACGAGTGCATAGAGAGCAAGATCTGTCATTCATCATCATCGTCTCCGCGTTCCGCGTCGTGTCGTGCGCACGTCCAGCTCAGCCTCGACCGCCTCTGGCGCCACATTCTCCTCATCTGCTGCAGACGCGACAGCGCGCTTCGCGCGTGCCTTGCCCTTGGTCGCCGCTGCTGTGCTCGGAGCGGCGTCGGACGAGGGCTCGATCGAGGCAGTAGGAGCTCGAGCTTTGCGCGTCTTCGGCTTCACCTCAGCGAGCGCCTCGCCGGGTGCATCCTGCTCCTCGACGGGCGAAGATGCTGGCGCAGCCTTTCGCCGCGTCGTCTTGCCCTTCTTTGGCGCTGCGTCTGCCGATCCTTCCTGCTCAGCGTCCGTCGACGCAGCCGGTGCATTGTCGGAGCTGCTGGCGCCGAGGGGCAGCTTCTTGCCCTTTGTGCTCGCCGCAGCGCGCGCCTTGCGCACAGGGGCCTCAGCCGCAGGCTCCGCTCCAGCGATGTCGTTGACCTCGATGGCAGCGTCGCTTCCAGGTGCCGCGTCCGAGGTCGGAGCCGCACTTGCGCCGCGCGCACGTCGTGATCGTGGCGCACGGCGCTCGGGCTCGGCCGCCGGGACTGCGGCACTCGACGATGGCACAGCCTCGCCTTCGACTGCAGGCTGTGCCTCCTGGGCCGACTCAGCCACCTCCTCCGTCTCAGCACGAGCGCCGCGCTTGCGTGTGGCGCGCGCCTTAGTGGTGCGTGCCTTCGCGGGCGGCGACGAAGGCGTTGCGTCGTCCTGCGCTGATGAGACCACGGGCTCTGCTGCGTCTTGATGGGCGCTCGGGCCAGCCTCGCCGTCGGCTGGCTCGGCCTCAGACGTGGGCGCGGGCGTGGCTGCGGCACGCTTGCGCGTCTGTCGCGGCTTGGCTGCTGTCGACGGCCGTGCCTCCTCGACAGCAGGAGTCTCGGCTGTGGCCGTTGTCGCCTCATTGACAGACGCTTCCTCGACCACCGGCGCCGATGCGGCAGCCTTGCCCCGCTTGGCCTTCGAGCGAGATGGCTTGGCTTCGACTTCGGGCTGCGCCGGCCCCTGTTCCGCCTCCGCGACGTCCGAAGACGAGGCTGCAGCTTGTGATGGCGCAGCGTCTGAAGACGTGTCTTCGGGGCACGAGACTTGCGCGGCTCCTCGACGACGCGGTGTTGGCGCTGCTAGCTCCGGCTCGCAACGCGCCTCGCTCGTGGCGTCCTCAAGCGGCGCGGACGCTTCAAGCACAGCAGGCTCCTGAGCTGCCTCCTCTGCGGCCTCGCGAGGGGCCTCGGCGGCGTCGTCCGACGAAGCGGCACGCGCGCTGTGGCGTGCACCGCGCTTTCGGCGCGTGCGAGGCGTGTGCGTCGACGGGGTGGAAGGAACGACTGGCGCAGCGTTCGCTTCGACATCTGGCTCGGATGTCGCCTCGCTCTGCACTTGCGAAGGTGCAACTGCCTCGACGTCGGAAAGCGGCACTTCTTGCTCCTCTGCCGACGCATCGATGGCGGACTCGGGCTGCGTGACAGCTTCCACTGCGGCCAGCTGCTCAGGCTCGGGCTGCGCCTCGGACTCTAGTGCTTCAGCATGTGCCGAGACATCAGCAGGCTCCTCGCTGGCTGCGTCCATCTGTGCCTCGATGTCGAAGTCGTCTGTAGCCTCCTCGCATATGATCACGCTCGCATCTTGTTGCTCGGGCTCGACCTGCACAGCCTCCTTCTTGCGCGCAACAAGGCCGAACGCCTGCAGCAAGCCAGCCGCGGGACTTCGGAGCATCTGCGCGCGCAGCGAGCCGTACTTCTTCGGCGGCGTGACGGGTACGGCTGGCGCGGCGGGCAACGAAGCGCGGGCGCGGGAGACGTTCCGCGCTGCTTGCGGCGTGCTGAAGAGCATCGAGTGCAGTGCCGGTGCCTCGAAGAAAGGCACAGAGGCGGGAACGGCGGCGATTGGCTCGGACGAGGAGCAGACTGGCGGAGAAGCTTCCCAGTCCATCGCCTCGGGCTCTGCTTCTGCATCCGTCTCGAGCGGCTCCGCCGGCGGGACATCGAGCGGAAGATGCAGGCTGTCGACGTCCTCTTGGAGCTCCGCGATGTCCGACTCCTCCTCATCCTCCACGAGATCGAGCTCCAGGCTCCGCTCTACCTCCTCCTCCTCGGCCTCGAGCTGCCGCATGATCTCCATCTGCTCCTGCTCCTCCCGCTCGTCTGCGCTCTCCTGCTCCTCCTCCTTCGCAGGCAGCAGGCCCTCACGCCGCATCGCCATGATGCGCTCGCGGCGCTCCATCTTCTCCACCCACTCCTCGCAGCCGCGCAGCAGCGTGCGTGTGCGCAGGCTGATGCGGCGCTTCGAGGGCGAGAGCTGGTGGCGCTCGAGGATAGCACGCGCCGGCGAGCGTGGCAGGCCAAGGCCGAGTGCCGTGGGGGCTGGAGAGCCCGCACCGAGCTGCACCTCACCGCGGACGCCCGACACACGCGAGGCGCGACGGCTGGCTCGCGAAGAGGCACTGGCTGAGGGCGATGCGGGCGCGGCAGAGCGGAGCTGCTCCTCAGGCTCAGCATCGAGAGACTCGAGCACGACCATGTCCGCCTCTCCCTCCTCCTCGCCCTCGCTCTCAGCTGCGCGCACCACGTCGTTCGAGACGCGCAGCAGCTGAGCCGTCGGCGTGTTGATGTGCGCGTTCGCGACGAGCGAGAGACGCAGGCGCCGCGGCGTGCCGAGACGCGCGGGCGAGGAGGAGGGCGTGTCGATTTGCGGCTTGCGGGGTGACGAGGAGCCGCTCGGCTCGTGCGGCGAGGAGCCGAGCGGGAGAAAGACGAGGCGGAATGACCAGCGATGCAGCAGCAGCACGTCCTGCTCCTGCAGCGGCGCGACGGCGCCCGAGGAGAGGTGCAGGCCGTTGTGCGAGAGGCCCGAGTTGCCGAGGACGTGCAGCACGATCTGCCCACCGCGCCGTCAGCGATGCGCGCCAGTGACCTGAAAGCAGCTGACTCACCTCTGCGCCGCCGTCAAGCACCTCGATGCGTGCGTGCCGGCGGCTGATGTTGCCCTTGAGCAGGCGGATGGTGGCGTCGGGAGCGCGGCCGAGCATGACGTCGGCGCAGCGCGGCGGCGGCGCATCATGCGCCGGCGGCAGCAGCGGCAGGCGCTCGCGCACATGGCCGGCTGCGCTCTCGAGCTGCAGGTATGGCTGCAGCGCCATCGTGCGGAGAGGGGTGACTTGCGGGGATGGGTATCGGTGTGGGACGGAGGAGTGCATGCGCGGCATGCCCGGCGCGAGAGCATCACAAAACACAGCCCGGCCAAGTAACACGACGCGCCCGATGGCCAGACGCGCGCTCGCACGTGACACGCGCGCCGCCAAGGCGCTCGCGCCCACCGCGAGCACAAGGGGCGCAGCGAGCTAAAATTGGGCGCTCTGTGCGAGGCGTCGGACTCCGCCCGGGAAAGCGGAACAGCCGGGAAGCACTGAGAGGGGCAGCAGGGGCTATTTTCGAGCGCAGCTCAAGCAGCTCAAATTTGCCTCTCTGCGAGGTCTGGCTGCGGCGAGGAGGACGGGAGAGCAGCCTGTGTGCTGCTGGCTGCGCGGCAACGCGGCATCGGCGGCGGCGTGCGGGCCGAGGCTGCCGAGGCAGCAGCGAGCACGCTACGGCGCTCGGCGGCCCACGCGTCGCGCGCACACGAGCCAGCAGCAGCATGCGGCCTGAGCTCGCTGTGCTCCACCACACCACACACAACGCCTGCACTCGCCCAGCAGCGTCACCTTAGGCATACCCAGGCACTCACGCTCGCTCCGCCCTTGCCAGCTACAGCTGGCCCAGCTCACAGCAGATGCCCGCCGCGTCCGCGCCCAGCGACCCCGACATCGTCGCCTCGCCGCCCTCGCTCTTTACTGCCGAGCTCGACGCTCGTGCGTCTCAGTCTGCAGGCGCGACGGCGAGCAGCACCGCCAACGCGCCCGCTGCTGTCGCCGATGCAGCGCCGTCGGAGCAGGCGGCGCAGCTGAAGGCACAGCAGCCGGCCTCGACCCCGGCGTCCGGCGCCGCACAGGACGTGGCGGCGGCAGAGCCGGCGTCGTCCGCATCCGAGACCACACCGACTGCCGCCAGTGCACGCCGGGACAGCGCAGCAGCGCACAACCAGTCGCGCGAGCAGCGGCAAGCCGAGAGCGGTGCGTGCGGCGCTGTGCAGTGCGACGAGCTGTCTCTCACCACGCCTGCCGCAGCCGCCATCTCCTTTCCCGCCTCGGATGCGCCCACCTCGGCGCCCGCCGCATCTCGCACGGCGTCTGGCAGCGCTAGTGGTGGCGCTGTGCCGATCTCCGCACCCGCCTCCTCTGCCTCTACCTCGGCTTCAGCGCCGCTCATGGCAGCTCCGCCCTCCGCTGCAGCGGGCGTAGCAGCCGCAGGTGCTGCTGCCGCGGCTGCACAGCCCGAGATGGAGAGCTATCCCAGCGCCAGCGGCACCCTCATTCCGCCGGCGAGAGACTGGGCGCTCGGGCCGGTGCCGACGCGGCTGGCGCCGTCGGGCACGGAGGACGAGAGAGACGCAAGGGAACGTCGAGTGAGTCGCTCCGCCCGAGATCGCTAGGCGATGCGGAATGGCGTTGCACGGTCAGCCTGGAGATGGCCCGGCTGCTCCCAAGTCTCTTTGCTGCTGCATGGTCCAACTGAGACGCAGCCATGCGCGCTCGCGACATTCGCTTGCCTCTGCGCGTCGCTGACGCCTCCTCTCTGCAGCGCGAATCCACGCTCTCTAGCTCGTCCAACACTTCCCGGCTCTCACAGCGCCCGCCGCGGCCACCATCAGTGCCGGGCTCGGACGTTCTGATCGAGCGTATCGCCTCTGCGCCGTCCTCTCGCCGCACGTCCTCGCAGCTCGCCTCTCCACGCGCGCTGCGCCCGATCGACACGACAGAGGGCGGCAGCGGCAGTGCTGGCGCGCGGAGTCCACGGCTGCCGAGCCCGATGCACGGTGCATATGCAGTGCGTCGGCGGAGCAATCTCGCCTATGAGCACGAGCGCGTTGCAAGCGGCGAGGGCGAGGAGGAAGAGACCCTCGAGGCACTGCCCCCTCCGGCAGCGCAAGCCACCTTCCCAGAAGCAGACGCCGTGGCGCCGGCGGCATCGCAGGATGCTGCAGCGCGAAGCTCCTCGTCCGAGCAGCCGAGCTTCACTGCCTCTCCTTCTGCGGCCTCACAAAGTGCAGGGAGCAGCACTGCGCGACTCTCAAAAGCGCTGGAGGTGCTCAAAGTGCGAGACTTTGGCTTCCCCGAGCTCGACCCGCGCCACGTCGGCGCACGGGACGTCTCGCTCGGTGCCGCTGCACCTGCGCCCGAACGCGGCAGCGCTGCCGCTGCTCGCCCCTGGATGTCGCTGGGCGGCGGCAGTGCGCTGGCGTCGGGTGCGATGGAAGAGTCGGAGGATGAGGACTCGTCGGCATGGGACGTGCCGCCATCAGACGACGAAGCGGGCATGGACGAGGAGGGCGAGGGCGACGAGGACGACGCGCTGCCGCTGGGCCTCTACGCCGCTGCGTACGAGTTCGTCGCGGAGAGCACGCACGAGCTGGCCGTTGCGGCCGGCGAGCATGTGCGCGTCGTCGGCGCGCTCGAGGGCGGCTGGGCCATCGCCGAGCGCATCACGGCGGGCGAGGAGCAGAAGGAGCGAGGTCTTGTGCCGCAAGCCTACCTGACCTGGATCGACCACTAGGCGTTGCCGGTCTGACCTGCTCTCTGTCGAGCTTCAAGTGCGCCTGCTCGCTGCTACGCCGGCTTCCCCTCTTTGCTTCCACCCTCGCTCGCTTCTCCTGCAGTGCTGCTCTCGCTCGTCGTGCTCTCACACCCACGTCACGTATCCCCAATCGCATGCTCTTCGCGGCCAGATCGTGACTAAGTGCATCGTGATTGCAATGCGAGCAAGGAACAGCAGCGAGGAGAGCGAAGGGTGTGGGAGACACAGGAGAGGCGCATCGAGCGCAGAGGGGCGTGAAGGACAGGAGGAGCCGGTCAGCCGCGCACCGCACGCATGAGCGAGGCCGCTGCGCGCGAGTTCTCGCTTCCTGCGCCCTCGTCAGCGTTCTGCGAGCTGCCCGAGTGGTTGGCGCCGCCTCTTGCCGGCTCCTGCGCGTCCTCCAGCAGGTCGATGAGCGCCTCGACCACGCTGTCGACCTCGTCGGGCGCGATGCCGCCGCCGCAGCCCGCAGCCAGCAAGCGGCGGTACGCCAGGGCCTGCTTGCCCGCTCCCTGTTCCCGCGCCCGCTCCACGAAGCGGCGCACGACCGTCGAGTGCGACGCCTTGACCTGTGCCACCTGCGTCTTGAGCTCCGCCAGTGCCTTGGCGGCATCCGAGCCAGCAGGCATCGGCATGCGCAGGCCCTCGAGCGACGCTACGTCTGCCGCCGGCAGCGCGGCATTCTCCGTTTCCATCAGGCGCAGCCGCTTCGACGTCGCCTCCCACTCGCCACGCATCTCCTCGCGCGCCCGCTTCTGCATGCCGGCGATGAGTGCCGTCTCGGCCGCGCGCAGCTCGGCGGCCTGGCGCTCCTTCTGGTTCTTGCGGCTCGTGGCGTCTCCGGCGGCGGGCGAGCTGGACCCGGCATGGCCAGCGATGCCCGCGCGCGACGACTCGGCGATCTCCGCCTGAATCTGCGCAAGCAGCGCGTGCGCCTGCGTCACTTGCCGCTCGACGCCGCTGAGCTCTGCATCGTACGCGTCGGCCAGCGAGGCGAGCAATGTCGTCATGAGCATGTGCGCCTTGCCGGCGGCGCGCTGCCCTGCCTCGCTCGTGCGCAAGGAGGCGTGCGGGCCCATCAGGGCCGCCGACAGCGCCGCGTCGCTGCTCGGCACCGGCGGCAGGCCCGCTGCGGCAGCGGCAGCTGCCGCTGCAGCAGCAGCGGGCGGCGAGGCACGGAAGCGCTCATCCTCGATGATGTAGTCCTCGGCCGACTTGCCATCCTTGTTGCGCAGCTTCGGGTCCGCGCCGTGCTCGAGCAGCAGCTTCGTGATTTTCTTGGAGCGTGACCGTGCCGCCATCGTCAGCGGCGTCTCGCCCTCGTCGTCCTGGAAGTTGAGGATGTCGGCCAGCTGCGAGCCGTACTCTGCCAGACGCGCCAGCATCGTCTCGAGGTAGTAGCGCGCCGCGTGCGGCTTGCCGCGCGAGAGCGCAAGGTCGACGACGTGGTGGAAGACGGTGCGATCGGCGCGGTCGATGTTGAGGATGGACCGGTGGAGCAGCTCGAAGAGCTCGGGGAACTTGCGCAGGTCGTAGTTGTTCGAGAACATGGCGGCACGCATCAGCGCCGTCTGGCCGCTCGCATTGACCCGGAAGACGTCGGCACCGGCGCTGAGGAGCAGCTTGACGACGCGGATGCGGCCCATAGCGCACGCCCAGTGCAGCGCCGTGTGCTCGTCGTCGTCGATGCTCATGTTCGCGTCGAAGTCGGCCGGCGGCGACACAAGCAGCGGCGGCACCGTCGTGCTCTCGGCAATGAAGTAGTCGAGGATGATGGTGGCATAGCGCGACATCGGGCTCGGCTCGCGCGCGAACGGCTCGAGACCAACGCCGTGGCCGGCCGCTGCCGCCGGTCCGCCAGTGCTGCTCGACGCACCACGCGAGCTGCCGTTGGGGTGCTCGTAGTAGGGCGGCAGGCGCTGCTGCGGGTACGCGGGCGTTCCGCCGCCGGGAATGGGACTGGGCGTGCGGCTGGAGCTGCTGACGACGCTCGGGCTGGGGCTCATGCTGCCCTCGGTGCCGTGCGCGTTGGCCGCGCTCGTCACCTCGCTCTCCGTCTCAATGCTCGTGGCACGGCGAACGCGCTCGGCGGCAGCGCCACGCTTGACGCGCGACGAAGGCGCAATGACATGCTTGGGCGCAGGCGGCGGCGACTCGGCGGTGGGCTGGTACTCGGTGATGGGGTCGAAGAGGTGCGAGACGTTGTAGTGCGCCGCCAGCTGCTTGGCGTCCTCGAGCGGGATCCACGTGCCTGCAGGGCAGGTGTGAGCAACAAGGCGCATCCGACATGCTGCAGAGAAGCACACATCGCCAGATCACACAGCCGACATGCCACTGCCCATCCTTCCCCTGCTGCACCTGCGCCCGCGCACTCACCCTGGTATTTGCCGTAGCCGCCCTGCACCTTCTCATGCGTGCCCTTCTGCACGTCACGCTCGAGCACCTTTGTGCGCTGCGGCTTGTCGAGGCCGACGACCTTGAGGATGTGCGTGGCGTTGATCCAGGAGTCGGAGCGGCGGCGCATCACGGCCACCTGTGCAGGTGTGAGCGAGAGAAGCAGCAGCAAGAGCCAGCAGCCCACGCACCGAGCGGATGATGCACTCGTACACGGGCACGCCCGAGTACGTCGCCTGCGGGTCAGGAGCGGGCAGTCAGCATGCGGCATCGCGGCGGACGGCGCGAGGCTGCGACACACCTTGAAGATCATGCCCTCCTGCTTGGGCGGCATGGCGGGCGATGGGGCGCTGTGCGCAAGGACCGAGCCGGCGTGGCGAGATGCGGAAAGCGGAGAGCGAGTGGGGGCGAGCGAGAGAGCTGGACAGAGCGGCTCAGCAGAGAGGTGGAGAGGTGGACGTCGAGGTGGAGAGGCTGGCCGTCGTCGCTGTCGGCGGCCTGCGATGCCGCGAAGGTGCGCCGGCTGTGCGCTTCTCGAGCGACGCGTGACGCGTCCAAGGCGGGAAGTGCGGCCTGGCGCGCGTGAGGGGGTTGGCTCTGGAACATTCTGCGGCACCAGCGCTGTTGCGCGCGCGGACCTCTCTCGTCTGCGCCTCTCGCGCTCAGCACGCGCCACTCTCGCCTCCCCTCCTTCCCCTCTGACCCCCTCCCGCCCCCGCGTCCGCCTCACCTCTGCGGCTTCGCATCCTACCCGCACGCTTCTCGCTCATTGCACCGGCCCCTCATGTCCTTCCTCGCCTCGCCCGCCCCGCCCTCCGCCTCGGCCGGCGGCCCGCCCTCGGCGCCGCGCTCGCATGCCGGCGGCGCTGCTGGGGGCTACGAGCCGCCGGCGCCGTACGTCATCTCCTCGCCCGCCGGCCGCCTGCTCTGCGTCGCAGACGTGCGCGGCAACCTCGCACACCTCAACGACCTCGCCGCGCGCCACAACGCTCACGCCATCGTGCACACGGGCGACTTTGGCTTCTACGAGGCGGAAAGCATTGCGCGCGTCGCCGACCGGTGAGTGGCGGCCACAGCTGTGCGGTGGAGACCAGTGCTGCCGTGCGCAAGGGCATGCGCTGCTGTTCTCGTGGCCCGCGCTTCATCTGCTTACACTTCACTACAGCACGCTGCGCCACCTCGTGCAGTACTCGACGCTCCTCTCGCCCGCACAGCGCAACAGCCTTCTCTCCGACGGCGCACGGCCGGGCGGCGCGCCAGGCGCACCATCAGCCTCGCTGCGCAGCGGCGTCTCCATCTCCATGCTCTCGTCGCTGCCGCAGCTCCTGTCTGGCGCCCTCACGCTCGCCGTGCCCGTGTACGCCGTGTGGGGTGCGTGCGAGGACGTGTGCGTGCTGGAGCGCTTCCGCACCGGCGAGTACGCCGTGCCGAACCTGCACATCCTCGACGAGGCCACGTCGCACGCCATCGACGTCGGCGGCGTGCGGCTGCGTCTCTTTGGTCTGGGTGGCGCCGTCGTGCTGCACAAGCTCTTCGACAATGGCGAGGGCAACGCCACGATTGCGGGCGCTGGCGGAACGATGTGGACGACGATGCTGCAGATCGGCGAGCTCATCGATACCGCGCAGAAGGTGCGTCGCTTCGATTGGACCCATATGCATCCCGTATGCTGTGCTGACACCGCATTCGGCAGTGCTGGGATCCGTCCGAGGTGCGCATGCTCATCACACACGCCTCGCCGGGCCGCGAGGGTCTCCTCTCGCAGCTCGCCCTGCAGCTCAAGGCCGACCTCACGCTGTCTGCGGGCCTGCACTTCCGCTACGGCGTCTCGTACAACGAGTTCAGCGTGCAGTCGTCGGCCTCGCAACTACGCACCAAGCTCACGGAGGCGCGTGCTGCGTTCACCGAGGTCTGGGAGGCCGTGTCGACGCAGGTGGAGGCGGTGATCGACGAGCGCCAGCGCGTGCTGCTCAATCACGCCCTCGCCGTCACGCGCCGCATCCCGCCGGCTGCAACGCCCAACGGCGCCGTGGCCGAGGAGCCGGCGGCCAAGACGATGTGGAACTGGAACCTCCCGGACGCCGCCTATGGTGCGCTCGTGCTGGAGGTCGAGGGTGGGCGCGTGGGCGCCACCATGCACAGCCAGGGCTTCACCTTTGCGCACCGCCGCGAGGCGGCTGCGGCTGCAGCGCAGAAGCAGGGCATCTCGCCGAGCAACAGCGCCAGCCTGAAGCCCGCCTCTCAGCCGCACACGCCTGCCGGCCCGAAGGCAACGCAGCAGCAGCAGCAGCAGCCAGCGCAGCAGCAGGCTCCGCCGCGCTCGGCCGGCGGCGCATCGAACAAGTCCTTCAACGGCGAACAGCAGGCCCGCCGTGGAGGTGTCAATGGCAGCACCGCCCACTCGAACGCCAGCGTGCCGGCTTCGCCTGCGAAGTCTCGCCGCACCAAGTCGACCGCATCGACCGCCTCGGCACTCTCCTCGGCTCCCAGCGGAGCGCCTTCAGCCGCTTCGCGCGTGGCTGAGGAGAAGAGCGGCGACGATGAGGCTGCCGCTGCCCCGGGCACGGGCGCGACGCCCGAAGGCGTCAAGCGGAAGACGACGCGAGGCGGCAAGAAGAACCGCAGCAAGAAGGAGGGCGGCGCCGCTGCTGCTGCTGCTGCGGCGGGCGGCAACGAGGCAGCGTCTGGCCAGAGCCAGGAGAAGAGCGCTCCGGCTGCGTCCGCTCCGGCTGCGCCCAGTGCGCCTGCGGCTGCGCAGGGCGGTGCCGAGAGCAAGTAAAGTGCACCGCCGAGCCTTCCATCGCGCAGCGCTTCGACGTGGCGGCGTGTCAGGGAGGCCTCCGATCGTCCGGTCAGGCCTTTCGCCACGCCGCTCCATTCCGTCTTCCTCTCCTCGCCTCGCACCACCGACATCCATCGCCCTCCACCCATCCCATCCGTCCCTAGGCCGCCACCGCATTTTATGCGCGCCACCGTGCGCGTCTCGCTCCGACCCACGCCCATTCGCGGCTCACCATCATCCAAAATACCACACATGCTTTCTCGAACGCCCAGCGGCTGAGCAGCGAGCGTCGTACAGCATGCATGTGCGCGACGCATGGCGCACACGTCGTCTAGAGAAGGGAGACAGCAGAGCAGATGCAGGAGAGGGGCAGGAGTGCAGCGCCTCAGGGAATGTTGAAGAGCGGCTTGAGCGCCTTGATGAGCTTCTTCTGGTCCGTGGAGACCTGTGCGGCGGAGAGGTCAGCAGGAGGGCTGGTGGGAGGCAGGCGAGAGACGCACCTTCTCCCAGAAGTGCTCCTTGAGCGTGTCGATCGAGGTGCGGGAGATCATCGAGTAGATCTCGTCCTGCAAGGCGCAGCGCTGGCGTCAGCTCTCGCGGCCACAGCAGAGACACACAGCGGCGCACCTTCTCCTCGAAATGCCGGCCGTACGTCTTGCTCTGCTCGTACACGGCGCACTCGATGCGCACGGCCACACCGGCGCCCTGCTCCTTGCGCGTGACGATGTCCTTGGGCTTGTGGTTGATTCTGCGCCGGGCCCGTCAGCAGGGCCGCAGGGCAAGAGTGCGGGAAGCCACTCACTCGAGAGAAGTGACGCGGCCCAATGACACGACCTCGCGCTTCTTCGTCTCGGGGTGCACCTTGACGACGCAGAGCGGCGTGCCGATGCGCAGGTCGCCGTCGAGGATCTCGCAGCTGTGTCACAGCAGGCGTCAGTCTCGTCCCACTCGCAGCAGTGCGAAGCGGCTCACCCCAGGATGATCGGCTCGCGCTTGGCAAAGACGGCGAGCGTCTTGAGGCGGCACGGCCACACGGCCGTCGGCGCGGCGTCCTTGATGCGTGCCTCCATAAGGTCTAAGGCGGCCATCAGTCAACCCGTCCCTCTGCAGGCGCGCTGCATCACTCACTGTCGTAGAAGGCCTTGTAGTCGTCGACGAGGTTGTAGATCGTCATCTTGGAGAAGATGTGCACACCCATCTCGCCCGCCAGCTTCTCGGCCTCCTTGTCGATCTCGACGTCGAAGCACAGCAGGCACGCGTACTCGGTGTGGCCCTTGTCGAGCATCGTCGAGGCGCGCCGCACGCTGCTCTTGAACACGGGGCCGATGTCGATGCCGCTGACGGGAATCTTGCCCTGCTTGAGGAACTCAAGCAGTGCCTCGAGCGAGCCGAGCGTCGAGGCCTGCACGCACACGCCCTTCCCGCTCGTCGAGATCCAGCGCTGCAGATCCTTGAGGTCGCTCATGACGTCGTCCTTCAGCTCCTCCTCGTCATCGTCGTCGGTGCACACGAGCAGGCGCGAGCCGGAGATGGCCTTCTCGAGGCCCGGTGCCGAGATCTTGACACCGAGGGCCGCCTTGACGAGCTTGTGGTGCACGTACGCGCCCTTGACGCGCATCTCCTTGAGCGGCTCGGGCGTGAGAAGCGCGCGGACGTTGGTGACGATCGGGCCGTTCAAGCCACACAGCACAATCTTGTCGCCCTCGCGCAGCACGCCGTTGGAGAGAATGACGTCGATCGTCGTGCCGAGGCCCTCGATGACCTTGACCTCGAGCACGGTGCACTCGAGCTCGGAGAGGTACATGAGCGACGCGGCCATGCGCTCCTGCGTGAGCTGCACGAGCAGCTGCAGCATGTCCGGGATGCCCTCGCCCGTGTGCGCCGACGTCGGCACCAGCGACACGTTCTTGGCAAAGTTCTTGTTGTTGTAGTACGGCACGGCGTTGAGGCCCTGCTCGGCGAAGGCGACGATCGTGGCCTGCAGGCGCGTGTCGAACTCGTTCTGCGTCGACTTGTTCTGCTTGGCCAGGCTGTCGCGGAAGCCGCCGTTGGGCGTCGCCTGCCAGCCGTACAGGCGGTCGATCTTGTTGAGCGCAACGATGAACGGCGTCTTCTTGTCGCGCAGCAGCCGGATCGACTCGAGCGTCTGCTGCTCGAGGCCGTGCATGATGTCGACGACGAGCACGGCAATGTTGCACAGCGAGCTGCCGCGCGTCCGCAGGTTCGTGAACGACTCGTGGCCGGGCGTGTCGATGACGAGCAGGCCGGGCGTCTTGAACACCTGCTTCTCCTCGGGGTCGATCGGCGCAATCTTCTCCTTGAGCACCTCGACGGGGAAGTACGTGGCGCCGATCTGCTGCGTAATGCCGCCGGCCTCGCCGCCCTGCACGTTCGTCTGGCGGATCTTGTCGAGCAGCTTCGTCTTGCCCGTGTCGACGTGGCCGAGAATGCAGCAGATGGGCGAGCGCAGGTCGTCCTTGTTGACCTCGGCCTGTGCTGCCTCCTTCTTGGCCTTCAGCCGCGCGATCTGCTCAGCCTTGCGCTGCGCCGCCTGCTTCTGCGCCGCCGTCATCTCCTCCTCCGACGAGGAGTCGTCCGAGTCGGAATCGTCAGACGAGTCGTCGTCGGAGTCACTCTCCGACTCGCTCTCGCTCTCCGATTCGGCGGCCTTCTTTGCGGCTGCTGCTCGTGGTGCGTCAGTCACATCCTCTGCTATCTTCAGCGTCAGCACTTACCAGCAGGCTTGGCCGCGGGCTTGGCAACCTCCTTTGCCTTTGCCGGCGCCGCAGCGGCTGACTCGGAGGCCTTGGCCGGCTGCTCCTCCTTGTCATCGTCGCTCTCGGCGTCCCAGCTGTCGAGCACGTCATCCTCCTCCTCCTCAGCAGGTGCGGGCGCCTCCGGCTCGGGTGTCGGCTCCGGCTCCGGCTCCTTGACCGGCTCCGGCTCCTCCTCCTCGGCCGGCGCCACAGGCTCCAGCGGGCCCTTGGGCGCAAGCTTGTTCGGCGGCCCGCTGGGGCCCTTGCCGCCGCGCTTCTTGCGCGAGTCGACGACCTTGCGCTTCTCGGGCGCCGCGCCGTCGTCGTCGTCCTTGCGCTCCAGCGCCTCGACCTTGATCTGGCCGCTGCGGATCATGGCCTGCATGCGCGCCTCGGCGGCGGCCTTTTCCTGCTTCTGCTTGGGCGTGAGCAGCTTGCCCTCCTTCTTGAGCTGCTCGCGCTTGGCCCGCTCCTTCTCCTTCTTGCGTGCACGCTCGGCCTCCTTGCGCGCCTCCTCCTCTGCCTCGAGCCGCTCGGCCTCCTCCTCGGCTCGCCGCGCCTCCTCCTCCGCCAGTCTGCAGAGGGTGTGAGCGCAAACGAGGCCCATGACCACGCCACACTCACCGAGCCTCCTCCTCGGCCTTCTTCTGCGCGGCCAGGCGCGCCTGCAGCGCAGCAATGGCAGCTGAGGGCTTCTTGCCTGACGCAGCCGCCGGTGCCGGCTCCTTGTCTGCCGCCTTCTTCTTCTTCTTCTCTGAGCACGCACAGCATCCAAGGTCAGCGCCCGCGGCCCTGCACGCCACGCACTACTGCGCCACTCACTCTTCTTCTTGTCTGCGCCGCCCGCTGCTCCCTCGTCCTCATCATCCTCGTCCTCCTTCTCCGCTGGCGCAGCAGCGGGCGCGGGCTTGGCCTCCTCGGCAGCCGGCGCAGCCGCCTCGTCGTCGCCGTCCTTGGCGTCGCCGCCGGCCGCCGACTTCTTTGCTGCGGCCTGCGCCTTCTTCTTGGCCTTCTCCTTCTCCTTCTTCAGCTTCTCCTTCTCCTTCTTGGAGAGAATCTGCGAGGAGAGGGCGTAAGCGATGAGCCGCCGGCCCCGAAGAGAAGTCGCACGGCACAGCTAATGCGGAGCGAGGCTGACGCCTAGACCGGCAATGCCCTCTCATGCGCTGCCTCGTGTCCACCCCGCAGCCGCAGCGGCTACTCCTGCTCGACACACTCACCTTGACCTCGCCCACGCCGTCCTCTTCCGGCTCGGCCTTGTCTACATTCTCCATCTCCTCGTCCTCCGGCTCGGCCTTCTCCTTCTTGCCCTTCTTCTTCCGCTTCTCCTCTGCCGGGTCCGGGAACTCGCTACTCCACACGTCAGCCTTGTCACACAGCAAGGACGCGCCACAGCGACTCACTCGGCCGCGTCGGCCACCTCGGGCTCCTTGGGCACATCTGCCGCATTGCCGCTGACGTCCTCGCCCAGCTCGTCCCACACATCCTCGACGTCCTGCTGCTTCTTCTTCTTCTGCTTCTTGCCCTTGCCGGCGCTGGCGTTTGCCTGCGCCTTGCTCATCTGCGCCATGAGGCCGCCGCCGCCCTCCTCGTCCGACGGCACATCGGCCGACGGCGCATCGTCGAGCGAGAGCGAGGCAAAGGCACTCTTGCGCTCGCTCGACGGCGACGACACGGCCTCGTCGAGCTCCGGCACGCCGTCCTCGAAGAAGTCGTCGCCGCCCTTCTTGGCGCCCTTCTTCTTGCCCATGGCTGCGCGTGCGGCTCGAGCAGAGATTAGCGTTGGTGTGGAAGGTGTGGTCTGCGTAGAGAGAGCGAGCGGGTGCTGCGGACTGCAGCGAGAGTGTGGGTGCGGGGGGTGACGCTGAGGACCGTGTGGAGTGGCGCGAAGTCGCATGAGGGCCCAGAGGCAGGTGCGCAGCCTCGGCCCAGCGGCATTTCCGCCGGCCGCGCGCACGTGACGCGCCCGCTCCCAGCCGGCTCAGGGCTTCGCTGCTCCACACCCGTTCTGCTTCACTCCTTCGGCGATCAAGGCTGACTTCCGGGACAGACAGAACATCACACACACGCAGCACAGGCTCCAGCAGACGATTATGTAATTGCCGAGGCTCGTGCGCTAGTCCTGCTCTCCCTCGCCCCTCATTTCCCTGCGGCCAGCATGGATCAGCAAGGCTCCGAAGTCACGCCTTCCATTACCGGACTCACCGCTCCCAAGCTCTAGTCTTGACATGCTCCCACTCGATGCGCAGCACGCACCACGCCATGCGGCGCGCAATTTCGAGCGCCTCGAGCGCAAAGATGCCCGCCTCGAGCTCCGTCAGCAGGCTGAGGTGCGAGCTGAGCTTGAGCGACCATGCAAAGCGCAGTGCCAGGTCGAACACCACGGCGAGATGGTAGACGGCCGGCGAGAAGAGCATCGGCACGCTTGGGGCGCGCAGAAAGGAGGGCGAGCGCGAGTGCTTCGTGCTGCCGCCGCTGCTGCTCGGTGCGCGCAGAGAGGAGTTGATGCTCGAGCTCGAGCTCGACGTCGGCAGCTCCTCCTCTGGCGGCTGCTGCGCTGCGATGGGCAAGCTTGAGAGGCCGCGCTTGTGCAGACTCGCCTTGCCGGCCAGCGGCTGCGTGCCCGAGGACGAAGGCAGCGCCAGGCTCTGCGTGAACCACTTGGCTGGGCGGAAGAGATCGAGGCCCCAGTCGTTGGTCACGTCCCACCAGAAGGAGAAGAGCGAGTTGACAAAGACGGCCATCAGCCTGCGTCGCGTAGTCGTCAGCAGAGCGCATAGAGGCGGAGGAAGGAGGGAGACACGCACCACATGGCCCACACGCCCGGGATGCCCTCCGGACTGTCGTCGCCCTTGCTGGTGCCCTCGATCGCGCTGAGCCAGATCACCGGGAACGCGCTGGCGTACTTTGCGGCGTTGAGCAGCGGGCGGATGGGGCGCACGGCGAACTGGGCACGCAGATTGTAGCCCGAGATGGAGGCGTATGAGTAGCCCGACGAGCCGTTCTGGTCCGGATGCCCGGCCGGCTGCGTGCCGCGCGACGAGACGTACTCGGCCAAGCATTGGCGCAGACGGATGGCGTATGGCAGGCTGGGCCGCATCGCTCGTCAGCAGCGCGACACGAGGCACAGCAGGCGCACCACTCACGAGGCGAGGATCGGCACCATGAGGCTGCCGCGCCCGTTCCACCACACATGGTGGTTCTTGCGCGGCCAGAGAAAGCAGGCCGTGAGCCAGGCGTCGCCGAGCACCTTGGCGAAGGAGGTGAGGATGTCGGCCAGCAGCACGTCGGTGAACGCCGGCGGGGCTGTGAGGCGCGGCGAGAGGATGCGCAGTAGATGCCTAGGCGACGTCCCTTGCGTCAGCCTCGCACAGAGTGCGGCGACGCACACCACTCACCGGCCAAAGCCGCCGCGCATCGGACGCGCCAGCACGTCGCCGGGCCACAGCAATGCGCCGAGCGCGCCCAGCACGCACACGCCCTGGATGACCTGCGCGTGTCGGCCGCGCGGATCGCCGTGCATCGCGACCCACGTGCGAAAGCTGGCCCAGCCGATCGTCGTCCACGCGGCGCAGAGCACAGCCGCGAAGCCGACACGGCGCTGCAGCACGGCGTGCGGCTGCGGGTTCGACGACGGCACGATGGAGAGCGGCAGACGCGTCAGGAGCGCCAGGATGGCCCACCAGAGGCCCAGCGCGGCGGCGACGAGGAAGAGCAGGCGGTACGGCGGCGGCAGCGTCTGCGAGAAGCTCGGCCCGCTGCGCTCGCCGACGGCGTCGAGCGCCTTGGCGAGATGCTGCAGGCTCAGCGAGCTGCGTGCGCCGAGCCAGCTGCGCACACGCGGCGCCGCCTGCGAGCCGGCGACGAGGGGCACGCGCGAGACCTGCGAGTGCAGATAGCGCGCCGACGCCAGCACGGCGGCGGGCGCGTGTGCCTCGAGCGAGAGGGAGCGCACGCGGGCCAGAGCGACGTCTGACGGCGGATGCAGCGTGCTCGGCACGTCCCACGAGTACGTGGCGGCGATGAGCGCCGGCAGCGGCGCGGGCGGCGCCATGGCTGCCGGGTGATAGGGCGCCGCGATGGACGTGCGGCGGCGGCGGCGACGTGCGGCAGTGCGGAGAAGCGACGAGACTGTGAGCTGAGAAGGAGCGAGGCGGCAGCGGTCAAAGTGATGGAACGAAGAGAAGGAGTGATGGAGTCCGAAGAGAGAAGGAGCAAGCGGCATCGCGCATCGTGCTCCTATCCTCGGCCTTGGGCCACGCCGAGCTTCCCGTGCCTGCCGGCCGTGGCGCGAGGCGCGGCAGCGGGAGCGCCGTGGCGCGTGTGCCTTGCAGCGCGCGGCGGCGGCGCGCGCCGCCAGCGAGGCGGAGAGAGAGGAGGCGTGAGAGAGAGACGCGCAGCGCCGCCGCGAGAAACGCACACGCTGCGCCCCCGCCGCCGCCGCCGCGCGCGCCAAGGCATGCACGCCTGCGGCTGCTGCGGCGGGACAAGAAAGCCCGGGCTGCGAGCGCGGACAGCTGCATCGGGGACCCTGCGATGCTGCTGCAGCCAGAAGAGAGGCTGTGCTGTGAGACGGGCTTACAGCGTATGCAGAGTGTTGGGCGCTGCTCTTTCCACAAGCGTGGGCGAGGAAGAGCAGAGAGCAGAAGGAGGGATCGCGCGCGGCGCGGCACCGCATCCTGGTCCTCGCGCCGCGACGCATGTGCTCTATCTACCTCCGAGGAGCGCAAGCTTCCGCCGATGGCTGACTCTGCCTTCGGAGTCTGACATCAGAGAGTGAGGGCACAGTTCGCGCTGGCGTGAGGTCATGTCATCTGGGGCTAGGCCTTGGCAGGATTCGTGCTAGCAAGCGAAAGAGAAATCGAAGCGAGGCGGTTCGCAAAGCGCGAGGGTGCACATTGCAGCGATGCTTTCCTGCCCATCTCTGCCCTTGACGCTCCTTGCGGGCCGCATGGGAGGCAGGGCTAGGTTCAAGATATGCATATCCGTATTACCTCGATTCTGAAGGCATCCCTTGCACTGCTCGCCGCAGTCAGTCGGACAGCAGCGGCCCCTGAAGGGTGGTGCGAGGCGGCGCAGAGGCGCAGCGAGAGCGTCCCTCACGCCGTTCCCACGCTCCGCATCAGACTACGCTGACCTGACCGCCTTGCCCTCCACTCGCCCTTCTCTCCGCACCGCATCCTGCCTCCTCCTCACACCTCACACATCATGCCCTCACGCAAGGAGTGAAGGGCAATGCACTTTAACTGGCGCACTAGACGAGCACCAGTGTGCGAGCGCAGCGTCGCGAGAGCAGCTAAGATGGCGCAGACGGAGGCGAGGCTGAGAACGCCGATTCTGGCACGGGAGAGGAGAGAAGTACAGTGCTACAGGCGAGCGACCAAGGGCGGCGAAGAGAGAGGTGCAGCGCAGAACGAAGCGCGTCACAGGCATTAGGGAAGAGAGACGAAGGAAGGCGGGGTACGAGGCACGAGCAAGGCGCGCGCGATGCTGCACCAGCCAGCATTGAGATGCGACCTCACTCTGCTGGATGGTTCATCGTCGACAAGAGGCGAGGCGAAGGCGCGCCTAGTCGACCCAAGGCACGGCCGGCGTCAGGCCAAACGTGCTCCAGAAGTCGGTGCCGTCGAGCGCTGCGCCCATTTGCTCTGGTCCACATTGCCGCATCAGCGTCCATCTCCCTTCCGAGGGCACAAAGAGGCGACACTCACCGACGGAACGAGGCAGGCTGCGAATGGGATCGCGATGCGCGTGGTGCTTCTTGTGCTTCTTCTTCTCCTCGCCCACCTCTCCGCCGTTGTCGAGAGCGTGGTCAGACCGAGACTCGGCGATGAGCTCCTGCACCCAGCCGGGCTGTGGGCCGGCGGGAGGGTGGTTTCTGCCCTCTGCAGCAACACATGATGAGCAGGCTGAGCGAATGAGGCAAGCAGGTCTCTACGCACCTTCGCCGCCGTTGCCCCAGCGTGCACACAGGTCCCACAGATCGCTGCACGCGTTGGTGTCAGCCCCGCTGCCGCATCGACATCCTCTCTCAAGGCGAATGCACTCACTACACACGCTCATTCGTCAGCAGCCACCTCTCGCCTCTCGCCTTCTCCCACTGCACGTGCATCGCCAAGATCGCGCGCGCCACATCAAGGCCATGCACCAGATGCACGCTGCCCAGCTGCGCCAGCTTCTCCTTGCTCGGCGCCAGTGCGCCAATGTAGCGGCGCGGCGAACGGCCGTGGCCCCAGAGACCCGAGAGGTTGAGCACGGAGGTGTTGGAATGCGACAGCAGCGCGTCTTCGGCCACGGCGCGCGGCGCCGAGGTGTGTGGAGAATGCCGGTTCTTCCACGGCGACGAAGAGGAGGAGGCGAGAGGCTTGGTGCCGTATGTGGGCGGCGCAGGCGCAAACGTCGGGCCGTGCTGAGAAAGAGACATGTCAGAGGTGCAGCAAATGACAGCTCAGCGGCACAGACTCACGTCCCAGATGCCCGTCGAGCCGAGCTGGATCCAGCCGGGCGCGCAGTCACTCTCGCGCGTCTCGCGGTAGGCGCGCAGCAGGAACTCGACGGCCGCTGCCTCGTACAGCGGAAAGACGACGACGATGGTCTTGGCGTCGGGCAGGCGCTCGAAGGCCGCGTAGCTGTCGCTGCTCGGGTCGAAGTCGAAGGGCAGGGCGCCGTTGCCGCCGGCGCGCGTCGTCCAGGCGCAGGAGAGCGACGAGGTGCCGAGCAGCGGCAGCAGGAACGTCGCCGTCCAGCCCGAGCCGAGCAGCAGCACGTCGACGGGCGGCCCGCGTGTGGGAGCGGCGGCGGAGGAGAAGCAGGAGAAGAGCGACATGCTGCTGAGATGATGATGGTTGGAGGCCAAGCCGGTTGCGGGGTCGGGAGCACGTGGAGGTGTCAGCACCGTGCAGGGCCCGCCGGCGCTCCCACGCTCAGGGCGCGGACCCGTCATGCGCAGACGCCGCATCTCGCTCTCGAGCCGCGCTTTTCCTTCCTCTCCACCACATCCACTCGCCTCGCACCACACACGCATCCGCAGCGCCATGTCTGACGCCGCCTCTCTCACCCCACACGCCGAGGCAAGCAGCAGCAGCAGCGCCACTGCTGCTTCACCAGACGACTCGGCACCCGCGCTGCTGCCCGGCGGCTTCCACGCCTTCCGGCCCGTGTACGACTCCTCCTCCTCCGCCCTCACCTCCTCGACACCACTCACGTCCGCGCTGCTCACCGTGCGCGTCGTCAAGAGCTTTGCGTACCGCACCATGAAGGCATGTGTGCTGCCCGGCCTCGACCTGACGCGCATGACGGTCGGCGAGCTGCGTGAGCGGGTCAAGCAGGAGGTGCGGACAAAGCCGGAGTATAAGGGCGTGAGAAGTCGCGTCGCGGAGTACGGTGAGTACGGCAGCAGCAGAGTGGGAGGCGAGGAGAAGGAAGGCCGATGCCTCGCTGCGTGCAGAACCAGGCGCTTGCTGTGCTTCTGAGGCACGAGGCAAGTGCGGCAAGCGAAAAGCGCGAAGCAACGTCGACTCGACGTAAGCGCAGCGCGCTGCTCGGGCACACGCATCCAGGACGCGATCGATTCATCGGAAAAGGCGCAGCACTGATGCTGCGCCTTTTCCTATAAACTCGCGGCAAGGCGCGAAAAGCGAGCAGAGCGAGCGCTGGCACGTCGCGAGAATGCGCAGTCAGGCGTCGAGGTGGGCCAGACGCTGCGAGCTACAGGACTGCTAGCATGGCGCGCTTTTCTGCTGCTCTGCGCGCCATTCGCAGCGAAGCTTCGCCCTTTGCAGCAGCGACGCTGACCCTCTCCCTCGACGCACAGACACGCTCAAGATCTACACGCACGCGCATGCATCCAAGACGACGAACCTCATCATCAACCTCGACCGGCCCGAGTGGCTGCTGCTCGACGACGATGCGACGCTCGAGAGTGTGGGGTGCCGTGAGTCAGAAGGGAGATATGCCGACGCAGATGCTGCTCAACCTGGCCCTCACGCACATGTCACTGACGCCTCCTCATCTGTCCGCGCTGCAGAGAACGAGACGGAGCTGTCGCTCTTCAATCGCGCCGAGTACGAAGAGTTCCTGCTCAAGCCCGACACAACGTCCTGGTGATCTCTCTCTCTCGTCTGCTCTTCGTCTCTCCACCTCGCTCTCCATCTTCGCTTCGCTCTCTCTCTCTCTCTCCAAAAGAGCGCACGCTGCGCGCGCGCCATGCTACATCATCCAGCATCACACATCGTCATCGGTCCCGGGTAACTCGAATGAATTCGCTCTTCACCATCATCATCTCCTCTCTCTCTCTCTCTCTCGCGTCGTCCATCACGGCTCAGCCGCGCGCGACGACGCCGACGCCGACGGCGTGGAGCGCGGCAGGGGTAGTTTGAGGCGCGGCGCTGCTGCTGCGCCGGCTGCAGACGAGCCAGCCGCAGGGCTAGGAGAAGCGCCTCGCGGCAGCGGCGGCCGTGCAGCTGGGTTGTAGTGCAGGGGCGAGGCGACGTGCAGGGGCGAGGCGACGTGCAGGGGCGAGGCGGCGTGAGGCGCAGCGCGCGGTGAGCTGCCTCGAGGGAGCGGCGGTGGAGCGACGTAGTGCTGCGGCGAGGCGGCGTGTAGAGCAGCTTGCTGCATCGGCGGCGGCGAGCGAGGGCGCGCAGGCATCGACGAGCCGTTGCGGTAGAAGTGCGCCTGTTGCTGCTGCATCGGAGAGGCCGAGCCATTGGCTGAAGGCATGATGCCGCCGACGTACGGCTGCTGCTGGTGCCACTGAGCTCGCTGCCGAGCGTCGTCGTGCTCGTCGTCTGGCGTCTCGGAGATGCGCACGCGCTTGGCAGCGCTGCCGCTGCTCTCGGAGACGGAGAGCGAGCGACGCAGCGCAGACGGCGCAGACGGCGGCGGCGCATGCTGCTGCTGCTGCTGCTGCTGCGGTAGCTGCAGCCCATGCAGCAGGCCCTGAAGGTCCTCCGGCAGCGACAGCTGCGGAGTCTGCGGCGGAGACTCCTGCGGCTCCTCGCGACGTGCCGGCCCAGGCATGTCCAGCACGACCATCTTCCGTGCTGCATGATGCGCGCCGCGGTACGAGCTCGAGCCGGAAGTGCCGCCGCCGCGTCCGGAGCCGGCAGCGCCGCCGCCACGTCCTCGTCTCGGCGTCGCCTGCGTCAGAAAGGCGCGGGAGTCTCCGAGAGTGAAGCCGCCGGTCCGAGGCGGCGGCTGAGACGGAACGTGCGGCTTCGGCTTCGGCTTCGCAGCAGGCGGCGGCAGGAAGGTGTTGACGGCGCTGGCCTTGCGCGCTGCCTCTGCTGCTGCTGTTGGCGGCGCAGTGGGTCGTGCTCCGCCCGTGGAGGCGCCGGCAGGAGGTCGTGGTCCGCTCGTGGAGGCGCCGGCAGGAGGTCTCGCACTGCTCGAGGTGCCGGCGGTAGATCTCGCACTGCTCGAGGCGCTGGAGGCGCTCAAGGCGCCGGCGGGAGGTCTCGCACTGCTCGAAGCGCTCGCGCTCGTGGCGCTCGGGGCGCCGGCGTCGGGCGCAGAGCGGAGCGACGTGCGGCCGGCTGAGGGCACGGGCAGAGGCCGCTTCTGCAGAGCCGCACGCTGCTGCTTGATGCGATCTGCCTTCTCGCGCTCCTCTCGTGCTTCTGCCTCTTGACGCTCCTTTGCAGCCTGCCTGCGCTTCTCGACAGCTCTCGCATCTCGACGCGCCTCACGTTCGAGGCGCTGCTGACGTCGCTCCTGGAGGAGCCGATTGTGGAGCTTCTTGTCGCGCCGGATGTCGAGGCGCCGTCGCTTGCGCGCTGCGCGACGCACGCTGCGGTCCTGCGCGCCGTGCTGCTCGTTCTCCGTGTCCGACGTGTGCGTGCTAGGCGCATCGTGAAGCGCGTTGCCGTCGTCGTCGCGCTCTGCAGGCGGCAGGTCGTCGGGTCGTCCGCCTTCACGTGCCCAGAACTCCTCGAGCGCTGCGCGCTGCGAGTCAGTAGTGGTGCTCTGCTAGCGCTTCTGCCTCGGCGCGCTTCTCTCCGCTCCACTCACTCTCGCGCTTCAGGTTCTCCTCCGGCTCCCACGTGTTCTCGTAAGGCGGATAGTCCTGCCACTTGATCCTGTACTGCACGTGCCCTCTCTTCGGATGCCTCCTCCATCTCAGCACATCCTGCACCTCGTACTCTGCGCCGTTGCCCTCCGTGACACGCTGCCACTTCGCCTGATCGTGCGAGTCCCACTTGCTCAGCTCATCATCCGTATCGTACGCCGTGCCGTCCGACTCGGAGAAGTGGAGCTCAGGAGACGCGGCGCGCGAGCCGGCCGATGACGACGAGCTGCTTTCCTCCTCGTCGGAGGAGAGCGCCAGGGGCAGGAGCGCCGCCGCCGGCATGCTGCGCGCACGGGAGGCCGAGACTGGCGCCGGCGAAGAGTGCGAGGTGGAGAAGCGGCAGCGCGAGCGTCCAGATGAGGTCGAGCGAGTGCCGCGAGATGAGCAGCAGCTGCTGCTGCGGTGCTGGCCGACGACGACGACGAGCGGCGCGAGCCTGCGAGCAGGTGTGAGGCTGCCGCTGTGTCGCTGTGCTGCCGCTGTGCTGCTGAGCTGCTGCGCTGCGGCGGCGACGTGCGTCGAGGCGAGCTTGAGGGCCGCTCGCGCCGCTCGAGGCGAGGTGGTGGAGCAGCGGCGGCGGCGAGAGCAGATGAGGCGCTCACGCACTGAGCTCAGTGCGTGCCGAGATGAGCAGCAGCAGCTGCTGCTCAGACGGGAAGCGGCGCGAGCTGGCGCGTAAGAGCGAAGCTGCTCAGCGCCGGTATGTCGCTGACGCGGAGCTGCGCTGCCGCTGAGCTGCTGCTGAGCTGCAGCACCGGGCTGCCGCTGAGCGCTGCTGCTGAGCTGACGAGCTGTTGAGCTGCCGAGCCGTCGAGCGACCAAGCTGCGAAGTGCAGCGCGAGCGGTGCGGTGCCGTGCCGCGAGCAGCCGTCGAGCCCTAAGGCGAGGCGCGCGCGCGGACGACGAGAGGAGGGAGAGCGGGAGAGTGGAGAGAGAGCGTGCGCTACAGCGGCTACGAGAGCGCTTGAGAGAGGGCGAGATCGAGAAAGAGAGCTGGGCGCGATGCAGGATCGAGGAGCCGGAGAGACGCGCAGTGGAAGTCGAGGCCGAGATGAGACGAGAGGCGAGGCGGGAGCTGCGTAACGGACGGTGACGGCGAGCGAGGTCGGAGTGTCGAAGCCGGAGCGTCGAAGTCGGAGTGTCATAAGGAGGAGCTGTCAGACGAGTCACGAGGCAGGAGTGGAAAGTGAGAGCGAGAAGGGGGGAACGGAATGTGGGAGAGGAGAAGCAAGCGGCGCAGCGGCGAATCGCGCGGCGTGATGATGCGCGCGCCTCGCCTCGCAGCCGCGCGGCTCTTTCAGCGCGCTGCGCCGAGGCGCGACGCTCTCGCTGAGGCGTTTCTTCTTCCACCACCTCCGGCCTATCCTCGCGCTCACGCCTCTCTGCCTCGCTCTCATTCTCCTCCGCCGCCTCCTTCTTCTCTCACCTCAACTTTCTCTTCGCTTCTCGCCTTCCGCCTCGTCCTCCAGCCTCGCAAGCCTCGGCCGCCCGCCATGTCGCTCACGCGCGACGCCAAGCAGCTGCGCGCCTGCCTCGGCTGTCTCTTCGTGCAGTCGGGCAACGACTTTCTGCAGAAGGGCTGTCCGAACTGCGACCAGGTGCTGCAGGTGCGTGGCCCTTTTGCCCCTTTGCCTACTCCGCGCCGCAGTGCTGATGCGTGTCCCTCGGCACGTGCAGCTGCAGCAGGACAAGGTGGCCATCCAGGACTGCACGACGTCGCAGTTTGACGGCCTGATCGCCATGGCGCAGCCAGGGCAGAGCTGGGTGGCAAAGTGGCAGCGCATCGGTGAGTCTCTTGCGCGCGTGCTCTTGTGGCCGAACAGTCGTCGGCGAGTGGCAGAAGCAAGGAAGCGAGAGCGGGACGTTGAGGTGAAGCGCAGGGCTACCACGAGGAAAGACGGAGCAGGCGGCGAGCGGGCTGAGCCTAGTGCAGCGCTTCGCACCTCATGCCGTGTGTCACTGCTGAGAGGCAGCTCGCTGCTCGCCCTGCTGGGCGGCTGGACACGATCGGCTATCAGAGCGCGAGCAGGTCGTCATCAGCTCTGGAGCGGAAGCGGCACTGCAGCTGTGGACAGGCATGCCTAGCTTTGCTGCTCAGCTACCCTAGGTGCAGAGGAGAACTGGCATCTGCTCTCTCATGTCTGAGCTGCGAGCCTACGCGTGCCTAGCGGCCGCTGGCCACAGGTGGCCTGCTTAGAATGCTGCGAGCTTGAGCGGCTCCCCTCCTCCTCCTCGAAGGCCAGGACAGCGTCGCTTCGGCCTCGAGCGCATGCTGATCTTCGCTGTGGGTTGGAGCTTCTGCTCGTCTTGCCGAGGATGGAGGCGCAAGCTATCTCTGCTCCTCGAGCCTGTCCTGTCGCCCCGGAGCTGAGCCACAGCGCCAGGCGCAGCTGCGCTTGCTGCGTGCGTGTGCTAGGTGCACGAAGCGGCGATGCTCTGCTCCGTCGGGTATGGCCCTCTGCGTACGACACGCAGCAGCTCCCAGGCTCTCCAAGTGCCGAGACCAGCAGTGGGCTCAGCAAGCTGCTGCCTCTCATCTCGCCTGCCTCCTGCGACGCTTTGCTTCGCTTGCCGCACTTCGCATGCAAGCGCACAAGCCAAGCCGCTGACGCTCTCCCTTCCCCTTCTCACTCTCCCTGGCAGATCACCGCATGCCCGGCCTCTACGCCGTCAAGGTCACCGGCTCGCTGCCCGCCGAGCTGCGCGAGCAGCTGGCCAACGAGCGATGAGGCGGCGGACGCGATCGTCTTCGCTCCCTCCTCCTCTTCGTCTCGCTCGCTGCTGGCCTTCTCGGCCAGCTTCCCTCGAGTGGCATGCGCAGCAGCGCTTCGTCATCTCTGTACTTGTACCCTTCTCTCTGCACGCTCGCTCGCATGCCGCGCCATCGAGCACGCCGCTCCTCATCGTCATCCGCCGTGCCAATTCGAAGTCATGCATTAGGTTCGGGCCTGCAAGCGGAGGAAGCGACGAGACGGGGGCGCGAAGGAAAGGAGGGGTGAAGGGGCATACGAGCACGGCATGGGAGAGCGGTCTGTGGATGCGAGGGCCAGCTGCTGCGCACGCGCACGCTCAGTTGACGAGGCCGCGGCCCTGGCGCGACTCGTGCGACTCCTTCCAGCGCAGCGCAAAGTTGACGAGCGTGCCTGCCAGCAGCACGGCGCAGAGGAACGTGGGGCCGATGCCGTCGAAGTACACGTTGCTCGACCTGTGCGAGGAGGGGGAGAGTGTCAGCCACATGGAGCGCGACGAGAAGGGCGTGGCGGAGCAGCAGCACGCACTCCTTTGCGCGGATCTTGAGCGCACGCCACATGAAGATGACGCCCGAGTAGGCAATGCAGAAGAGCGCAATGACGGTGAAGATGGCCGAGGCGATGAGGCCTGTCTTGTCGCCGGGCTGCGAGAAGTTGATCTGCAGAAGAAGCATGGGTATCAGCGCTTCAGCAGAAGGCGGGAGGGAGCAGGGCAACGCACCATGCCGACGGCAAGGGCCGAGATGAAGACACTGAACTCGAGCCATTTCAAGAAGGTGCGCTCGTTTGCAAAGTACACCTTTGGCTCGACGCGCACGGGAATCGAGACCTTCTTGCCCGGCTGCGCGTGGAAGTTGGTGACGTACTCGACGGGCGCGCGGCTGCCGCTCGGCTCCTCCTCGTCGCGGCCCTCGAGCGCGGCACGCGCACGGGCGTCGGCCTCGGCCTCCTCGTCGTCGTCGTCGCCGCCGACATCGGCGCCGTCGCGCGCGTTCTTGGCGCGCCACAGCCGCCGCAGGTTCGCCGGCGTGAGCTTGGTGAAGTAGGTGCGGTCGAAGTTTGTGCTCGTGGAGAGAATCTGCTCGCGCCCGACGGGCGCCGCACGCTGCACGCCCGAGGAGCCCGGCTGCCGCACGGCACTGCTGCCGGCGGCCAGGTGCGTCGCCGCCACGCTGCTCGCCTGGTCCGGGTTGTCCTTGGCCTGCGCCTCGAGCTGCGCGGCACGCTCGCGGATGTTGCGCTCGCGCTGCTCGCGGATCTCGCGCACGCGCGGGTCCGACGGCGGCAGGCCCAGCTGGCCGGCCTCGTGGTCGTCGCCGGCGACGGCATGGTCGCGCTCCTCGTCGGCCGCGCCCTCGAACTCGTCCTCGCTCGCCGGCTCGTTGTAGGCGCCGTCAAAGGCGCCCGTCGCGCCGTCCTTCGCCGAGCTGGGCGTCTCGGGCCGCGAGCTCGAGTTGGAGGCGTGGTGCGACGAGGGCCGGTCGATGCCGAGCTGCAGCGCGCGCGTCGGCGCCTTGCGGATGTCGATCTCCATCTGCGGCAGCCAGAAGGGCACCAGGTCCACGCGGTTCGACAGCAGCGTGGCGCAGCCGTGGATGAACTTGGAGAACTTGGGCACGGCCTCGACCTGCGATGCGCGTCAGCGCTGCCACGCCAACCTCTGTCTGCGCATCACTCACCAGGTGGCTCTGCACCAGCTCGCGCACCCACTCCGGCGGCTCCTGGCCCATCTGCGTCTGCAGCTTGACCTCGAGCACGCCGTAGGGGAAGCGCTCAATGTCCTCCTTGTCGAGCTGGTCGAAGGGGTAGTCGATGCCAATGTCCATGCGGCGCCAGTTGCTGCCGGCACGCTGCTTGCCGTCCCAGTTGTCCTCGCGCACCAGCGAGAGCTCCGTGTCGAGCGAGATGCGCACGCGCGCGTCGCCGGGCAGCTGGAAGGCCGTGCGGTTGTAGAAGGAGCGCATCACGGGCTGCAGCGCGCGGCTGAGCACCGAGTACTGCACCTCGCCGGCCAGCTGCAGCATGCTGTCGATCTCCTTGTCGCTCTTCTTGCCCTTCTTGCGCAGCGCCTCAAACGTCTCGTCCATGCGGTACTCGCCGCTCATGTAGCCATTCACGTTCTCCTCCTTGATCGGGAAGCGCGCCTTGACACTCTTCTCGCCCGTCCAGTCCTCGCGGTGCGTCTTGCGCTCGACGAAGATCTGCTTGTTGTCCATGCCGCCGTACCAGCGCAGGCGGATCGCCTCGGCGCCCTCCGTCTTCTCGAGGCGCCCGAGGTAGAGCTCGAGGTCCTCGTTGTCGTAGTAGATGCTCGTGATGGCCGAGTCCTCGGCCTGGTAGTCCTTGTCCGGGTTGAAGACGAGCACGGGCAGGTGCTTGAGAATGACGAGCTTGAGCGCCACGATGTTGTCGGGGTGCACCCAGTACTTGGTCGTCTGGCGCACGAAGGCTGACTGCGAGCCGCCGGCAGACGAGTCGCCGACGACGGGGTGGCCGCGCGTGCGCACGAGGTCGAAGAGCTTGCTCAGCTTGACGATGAGCGCGTCGTAGTTCTCCTTGTAGAACGGCCGCGCGCTGAGGTAGTGCTGCACAAACTCCTTGCGCAGCAGGCGGCCCGTCTGCTTGTCGTGCTTCTTGACGATCTTGTGGAAGCCCGTGTAGTTGAGCTTGGTGAAGAGCGCCAGGTCGTGCACGTCGGCAATGATGACGGCCAGGCGCTCCTCGAGCTCGAGGAAGCGCTCCTCGTACGCGTCGGCGTCCTCGGTGTCGCTGTCGAACTCGTCGTCGCTGCCCACGTCGTCCTCGGCGTACACGACGTCCTCGCCGCTGGCGTGGCCCTCGCTGTGGCTGCTGCGCGAGTTGGCGCGCGAGGGCAGCGACGAGCTGCTGTTGGGGCGCGACGAGACGAGCAGGTGCACCTCGGACTGCGCCTTGTTGATGCGCTCCGTGAGCTCCGTCACCTGGTGCGGGGTGTGAGCGGCCGCGCATGCGTCGACGTCTGGCTATGCCTCGAGTCGGCGCCTGGCAGCAGCCTTTGCCGCCCGACAGCAGCGTGCGACGCTTGGCGGGACACGACCTGCCGGCGCGCGAATGCCCCACTCAAGGAGACTCGGACGTCGCGCGAGGCAGTGCCTTGGCCAGGCACTGTCTAGTAGCGACCAGCACTCGACTCCCGGCGGTGCTCGAGGGCCTGGCTTTGTCTCAAGACGGCCACCACTGCTGCCAGCAGCTGATGCGCCTCACCACTCGCCCTCCATGGCCCCCTCGCCCTTTCTCTCCACCTCCTCATCACTGCTCACCTTGGTGCGCTGGAAGTCGTAGATCTTGTCGAGCTCCTTGCGCAGCTCCTCGACGAACTCATCCTCGTCCTTGTCGCTCCAGCTGCCGCCGTTGTCGGCGATGCGCGCCTTGATGTGCTTCTTGAGCTCCGAGTAGCGCAGGTACTTGGTCGACCACTCGGAGTAGAGCGACGTCTTGATGGTGCGGCCGAACTTCATGCTGGGCGAAGCAAGCGAGGGCGGCTGCGGTCGAGGGAAGAGACGCTGCGACGCAGCTGCGACGGCAAGGGCGCCGAGCTCGAGGCTGCGGCTGGCGCGAGAGGCGCTAGCGCAACGGCTGGGCGAGCGTAAGGCGCACGCGGAGAGGCGTGCGGCGCGGCGAGGAGGCGGAGCGCGCTGGGCGAGGTGCAAGGCGAGAGCGAGACGAGGGTATGCGGGTGCGGGAAGGAAGCTGTGAGAGAGGGCGGAAGAGATGGAAGGCGGGATGGGAGGCAGCCTCAGTCAGGCACAGCAAGAGCGGCCCCGGCGCAGCGGTTGGGCGCGGCGGAGCGCACGGGTGCCCAAGCCCCTCCCACGGCACGATAGCCGCGTCCGCACCGAACGCTGCAGCTGCATGCTGCCGCCGGCCTCGTGCGCCTCACCTCGGGGCCGCAGCGTCTCGTTCATCCGCCTTTGCCGAGCACGAGCTGTTCGTGCTCAGCCTGCAGGCATTGCGGCCAGCATCAGATGCAGATGCAGGCTGGCATGCCGCGCGCCCACGCCGACGCCGGCTGCGGAAGCACACGCGCAGCTGCACCGGCGCTCTGGCGCGCGCTACATGCGGCACGCGGCGCCCACGCCTCCCTCGCCTCGTCCGATGCCGCATGCTGCTGCACAGCCGTCTCGAAGCCTCCCGCTCGTCGTCTCGCCGTTCATTTTGCGGCTGCACGACGGCGAGAGCACCGAGGCGTCGACGAGGCGTCGGCGCCGCTCGGAGCCGTCTTCTCGCTGCGGCAGCGGCCCGACAGCAGCGGAGGCTCGAGGCGGCACCGCAGCCACAACGTCGCGCCGGCGCCGTGCGCACGTTCGCTCGCCAAGGAGACGCGCACGCTGCTCACGCGCCCGACGTCGACCCGCCGGTCAGCTCGAGCGTGGCGCCTCTCCCACGCAGACGGCGCCCGCCGTGCCTCTCCGCTCCAAAGCCAGCCGCTGTGCTGCTCGAGACGTGCTTCAGCGGCTTCAGCTAGTCCAGCGGGAGCTCGCTGGACCTCAGGTCCCGGCCGAGAAGAAGATCTGCTCCTCCGTCTGTCCTCGCTGCGGCCACCTCTCGTCGCCTCCTTTCGTGAGCGGCCCAAGTCGATGGTACAGACAGACGCGCCGAATATGGAATTCGTGTCTTGACAGCGCCTTCGAGAAGCCAGCGAGACGCAGCGCAGGAGAGAATGCCGAGCGCCAAGGGCGCCCGAGCAGAGGAGAGCGGATGAGATGCCTGCATGGCAAAAAGCCTGGGCCGACTCCCGACGGGCCTGGCGCGAGATCATTCGGCGCAACGCGCTCCCACGGCACTCACGCGCCTCCACGCTGCCCGCCTCGGCCCTCCACGCCGTCCCACCTCCAGCGCTGGTGCTGAGCGCTGCAGCTCGAGCTGTGCGTTCGCTTGCTGCTGGTGGCACCTGCTGCAGGCGTCTCGCTTCCAACATGCTCGCGGCGCTGCGAGAAGGGAATGGAGGCGGCGACCGCTGAGCGGTGAGCGGAAGCAAGCGTCTGCAGCCTGGGGCTGGACCAGGCGGCCGTGCACGGCATGACGTCAGCACGGCCCGAGCTCTGGACCCGCGCCGAACCCCGCGCGCGGGCCTGTCACCTCATAAGCCAGCCAGCGCCGCTTCGCCTGCACTTCTCCTCCCACCACCACAGCCTCAGCCACTCATCACACCACACAGCACCATGTCCGACGCCAACCTCACCTCGCACCCGCGCGCCGCCGACTCGTCGACCATCGGCACGGCCGAGTCGACGCTGGCCGACAACGCCAGCGCCACCACCACCAGCACGTCGACCGAGACGACGACGAGCGCCAACTCCAACAAGGTCGCCTCGGGCCTCGGCACGACGATCAAGGGGTGAGTCGAGCTGCGCGCCCGGCACGGCAGTGCAGCAGCACGGCGTAGCACCCGCACACGGCACACTCACCTCCTCCCTGCGCAGCATCTTCGGTGCCGCCCACGGCGCCGGCGAGACGATCCGCGGCGCCATCAACGACGGCCTCGACCAGGCGGGCGAGGGCATTGCGCGCGGCGGCACGAGCAAGGAGCGGCAGGCGCAGCGCGACGCCGACCTGGCCGCCAAGGGCCAGGCCGAGCCCAGCGCGCAGCACAACGCCGTGGCGCGCGAGGGCGTGCAGGAGGTCAAGGACAGCGTCAACTCCATCCGCAACCTCGGCGGCGGCAACAAGACGACGCAGCCGGCCGAGAACACGACCAGCACGATCTAGGCGTGCCGCCGTGCGTCGCCCTCTGCTGCATCATGCAGTCATGATACCTGAGCCGCACGATGGTGTGCGCGCGCACTCGGAAGCGTCGGTAATGAGAACTCTTCTAATTCGACGCAGCCGCGCCAGATGGTGGTGGTACATGTGCAGAGGCGGGAACATGAGTGGGTCTAGTCTAGAGAGATGAGGTAGAAGCGAGGCGGGAACAGGGTCTTGGGAAAGGGCGGGGCGGCGCGCTGCTACGAGTCGCGGATGCGCTCGGCCCACTGCCTCAGCGTCGCGGCCAGCACGTCGGGCAGCGCATCGACGTCGCGCACGACGACAAAGTACTCGAAGGGGAAGGAGTCGAGGTAGCGCTCCATCTTGAGCTCCAGCTTGCCCGTCGCGGCGTTGGTCGTGTAGCTGACGCTGCTCATGCTGAGAATCGAGTTGCGCGCAGCGTCGGCGCCGCTGGGCGTCGAGGTGCCCGACGACGCGGCGGGCGCGGTCTTGGAGAGGCCCTGCTGGAGGGAGTCGACGATGACGAACACAAGCATGACGCGCTGCTCGGCGGCCTTGCGCAGCAGTGCTCGCAGGCGCTCGTGGTCCTGGCAGAGAAGGAGGGTCAGCGATGGCGCCGTCGGAGGCACACAAGTCGGCGCTCACCTGGCAGATGCCGTCCGAGATGATGATCTCGAGCTGCCACAGCTCGGCGGCGCTGGCCGACGCCGCGCGCTGCTCTCGGGCCGTCTCGAGCGTCTTGAGCGAATGCTCGACGAGGCGCAGCACATCCGTGCCGCGCTGCTCGAAGCTGAGCTTCTCGAGCACATGTGCGCCCTGCGCATCGCCCAGCGGCCCGCGGCCAAAGGGATGCAGCGTCTCGACGGCCTGGCCGAAGCGGCAGATCGAGACGTCGCCCACCTCCAGGCGGCCCAGCGCGCCGCTGACGAGCGCCAGCGTCTGGTACGCCAGGTGCGCACTGTGGCTCTCGGCCATGCTGCGGCTGTCGTCGACGGCCAGCAGCACCTGGTACTCGCGCGCGCTCGGCTTGGTGCGCCGCAGCCAGATCTTGTCCTTGGCAAAGTCGGACGCGATGAACGGCACGATCTTGCGCATGTTGAGCCGCTTGCCCGTGCGGAAGTCGCCGTTGAGGCGCGTGGCCAGCGTGGGCGCCAGGATGAGGCGCAGCTGCTCGCACAGCCCAAAGGACAGGTCCGACGTGAGCGCCGAGTAGGCACGCCAGAGGTCGGCGGCGCGCGCCGCGCGCTCCTCGGCGTCGGCCTCGCGCAGCGCAAGCAGGCTCGCCTCGAGGTCGGCGGCGCCATCATCGAGGCGCTCCTCCTCGGGCAGCGGCGCCATCTCCTCGTCCTCGGCGCGCGGCACGTCGCCGTCCTGCGCGTCGCGCGAAGCGGCGTCGGGCTCGTCCGTCTCGTCCATGCCCGGCGCCTCGCCCTGCTGTGCGGCGCTGCCGGCAGCGCGGCGCTCCTTGGGGCGCACGTCGGAGGGCATGAGCGCCTTTGGCTCCTCGCTCGCCGCAGCCTCGGCGTCCATGGGCGGCATCTGGGCCGGGTCGAGGGCGCGCTCGGCCTCGAGCAGGGCCTCGTTCTCCTCTCCCGGCGGCTTGTCGGCCGCGCCGAGCTCCTCGTCCTCGATGCCGCCCTGGGGCCGCTGCTGCGCCTGCTCGTCGTCCTTAGCCGCGCCGAGGGCCTGCATGTCCGTGTCGTCTCCCTCGCGCACGTGCTCCACCTCGCCCGTCTCGGGCATGGCCTCGCCGTCGGGCTTGGCCTCGTCCGTACGCCGCTCCTCGTCGGCGTCGGCCGCCTCCTCGATCGCGTCGAGGTTGCGGCGGAAGTCGCGCAGCGCATCGCCGAGGCTGCGCATGGGGTTCGTGTCGCTGCCGTCGGCCTGCGCGTCGGGCTGCTCCGGCATCGCGTCCTTTGACTCCTGCCGCTCGCCGCTGGGCGCCGCCGCGGCGTCGGCCACGCTCGCATCAGGACGCCGCTCGCCCTGCGTGTCCGCCTGGCTCTGTTCCAGCTCGCCCGCAGCGTCGTCGGTGGGCTGCGGCGCGTGCGTCTGGCGGCCCTGCTGGGCGCGTGCCGACTGTTCCTGCATGGCCGAGTCGCCCTGCTCGGCGTCCCCGCCCTCGGGCGGCTCGCCGCTGTCGTCCAGCGGCGCGCTGTCGGCCGGCGCGCTGCTGTCCTGCGGCGCAGCGCCCTGCTGCTCGGCGAGCGCCTCGTCGACCTCGGCGTCGTCGCCCTCGTCGTCCGGGCCCTCGTCGTCCGAGCCCGCCTCGTTGCCCGCATCGCGCGGCACCTCGCCCTCGGCATCCTCCTGCGGCTCGGGCACGTCCTGGTCCGCGAGCTTCTCGAGCTCCTCGCGGTCGGGCGTCAGCTCCTTGCCCTGCGGCGGCTGCTCGGGCTGCGGCGGCTGCTCGTCGTCGCCGCCGAGGTCCATGTCGCTGAGGCCGTCGTCGTCGTCCTTCTCGCCGCCCGCGTCGTCGTCGTCAATCTGCAGGTCGTCGTTGAGGTCGAGATTGTCCGCCTCGCCCGCCTCCTCGTCGAGCTGGCGGCCGAGCCCGGGCCTGCCCTGCTCGTCCTCCTGCTCCTCCATCGCCTCGTCCTCGCCCGCGCCGTCGTCTTGCTCCTCGCCCTCGCTGCCGGCCTCGGGCTCGGGCGCGTCCTCCGCCTGCTCGTCGCCCTGCTCCTGCGGCGCGTCCTTCGTCTGCTTGTCCTGCGCCTTGGCCTGCTGCTGCTGCTGCTGGCGGTCCTTGGCGACGGTGTCCTCCTCGGCGCCCGCGTCGTCGCCGAGGTCCTTGTCCGTCTCGTCCTTGCCGTCGCGCTGCTCGGCCTCGTCGTCGCCGCCGTCCCACATCTTCTCGTCGACGGCGTTGGGGTCGAGCGGATCGACGTCGCCGACGTGCTCGTCGAGGTCCGGCGGCTCCGCGGCGTCGTCCTTGTCGTCGTCGGCCTCGTCGCCCTCGCCCTCGTCGTCGCCGCCGACGGACTCGAGCTCGCCGCCAAAGTCCTCCTCCTGCTCGCGCGCGCCCTTTTCGCGCTGCGTCTCGTCCTTGTCGCCGTCGTCGGCGTCGACGGCGTCGTCCTTCTGCAGCTCCTCCATCACCTCGTCGTCCTGCATCTGGTCCGTGACGTCCTGCGCGCCCGAGCCGTCGCCCAGGCCCGTGCCACCCTCGAGCTGCTCGCCGCCGTCGCCGCCGGCGTCGTCCTTGCTGCCCGCGTCCTCCGGCGGCTTGCAGAAGCCCTTGAGCACGAGCGAGCTGACCGTGGCGCACAGCACGTGCACGAGCTTGAGCACGCTGCGGTACCACAGCGCCGCAGCGCCGAGGTGCGCATCCAGCAGCGCCGCGTACTCGGCCAGGAACGGCGAGACGCGCGCAAGCGTGGCGGACAGCGCCGCCGGAGCGAGGCCAGCGTGCGGCTCGATGAGCGAGAAGAGCGTGGAGACCTCGCCCAGCACCGTGTCGAGGCGGAGCGTGCGCTGCGCGTCGGCAAGCTGGGCAGTCGCGTGCAGCACCGCATCGTCCTCGAGATCCTCCTCCTCGGCGTTGAGCGCCGGCCGTGCCTCTGCGCTCTTGCGCACGTCCTGTGCAATGACCAGCACGGACGAGATGATGCGGTCGGCCTGCGCGTCCACGTCGCTCTGCTTTGCCACGACGCCGTTCGTTGTGTCGGCGTCCAGCGCAGCGAGACAGCGCGTGACAGCCGCGGCGCCGAGCTGTCTGGCCCAGTCGGCCACTGGCTGGCAGAGCGCGGCCAGAGCGGGCTCGTCGATGGCGGCAGACGCCATCGTGGTGGCCGCCTCGACGAAGACGGCAGCGCACTCGTGCACGAGCCCCTGCTCGTTCGGCGCAGTAAAGGTGGCACCGCTGCCCAGGTCCCTTGACAACGCCTCGACGCGTACGGACAGAGCATCGACGCGGCCGTGTAGTTCGCGCGTGCGGGTGAGAATCGTGGCGTCGTGGCCCGCCTTGATCACAGAGAGGCGAAGGTGCGTCGGCGCCTCGTCGGCGAGCTCGGCGAGAGCCGCAGAGAGGCGACGCAGTCCGTCGCTGAGCGCCTCCACGCTGGCGAGCGAGTCGGAAGCACACGGGCTCAGCGCAGCAGCCGGCTGCTGAGCCTGCTGCAGCCGCTCGACGATGCGGTCGAGACGCGCAACTTGGCCCAGCAGCGACGCGAGGCGGGCACGCTCTGCGAATGCGAAGCTCATGCCGTGCTCAACGAAGGCGATGCCCCGCAGCAGCTCGGCCACGGGAATCTCGTCGGTGCGCGTGCGGATCGACTCGCGCAGCCGTGGCAGGGCAGCGAGCAGGCGGTGGTGGTAGCGCTCGGCCTCGTGCAGGCGCGTGCGCGTGCTGAGCGACGTGCACTGCTCCACGGCGGGGATGCGCTGCGTGTACACATAGGCTGCGTCCTGCTGGCGGGCGACGATCTCGGGCTTGAGCGCAGAGCGCAGGCCGATGCGCCGCAGCTCGCGCAGCAGGTCCGTCCACGCCTTGCGCTTGCGCGACGTGAGCTGCTTGATGAGCTTCGTGTTCTCCTCGGTGGCGGTCGCCGGCGTGGCCTTGGCGAGCGCACTGGCGCGTGACACGATGGAGCCGGCGAGATCGTCGATGCCCTCGGTGGCCGAGAGCTGCAGCGACGGCAGCAGCCGGCTGTCGAGCATCTTGTGCAGCGCAGCCAGCGTCCGCGGCAGGTCGAGCAGATGCTGCGGCGTCTCCTCCCCGCGCGCAACCGCAGCCGCGGCGGAGGCGAACACCTCGACGTTGGCGTACGACGGCCGAGCGTGCAGCCCGTTGGCGAGCTGCACAAAGGTCTTCGCCTCGGCATTGCCGGTCGCGCTGTCCATCGCCGCCGCGAGAAGCGGATCGACGGGCTGGCGCAGCACGTCGCGGAACTTGCGGATGCAGCGATGCAGCTTGCGGTGCGTCTTGAGCGCGCTCTGCTTGAGCGCGTGGATGTTGACGTCCTTCCAGCTGGCCAGCTTGATAAAGTCACGGATCTCCTTCTCGAGCACGCCGCGCTGGCGCTTCATCGAGTCGTCGACCTTGTGCTGCAGCTGCCCGTAGAAGGCGCACACGTTGGCGAGCACCGTGGCGATGCGGTCCATGCCGCGCATCTCCTCCGACGGCGCGCTTGCGAGCAGCAGGTCGAGGAAGCGCGAGAAGGAGCGCAGCAGGTCGAGGCGTGCGCCGTACTGGCCGAGCGTGCTCGAGCGCACGTACTGGTCCAGCAGCGCGATGAGCTTGCGGACGTGGTCGTCGGCCGTCGCGGCGCCCTGGGCCACGGCCGCCTGCATGCCGCGGATGGCGACCTCGAAGAGCTGGAACCAGTACTCGGCGACGGACTCCTCGAAGCGCTCGGCCTGCACCTGCAGCAATCGGGCCCAGCAGTCAAGCTCGAGGCGGCGCCACTCGATGAGCTGCGCCGAGAGCTCGCTGCGGTTCACCGAGAGGCTCGTCGCCGAGCTGGCATAGCCCTCCCAGTCTTCCGTGTGGACGAGCAGGCCCTCGAGCGCGGCAAGCACCTTGGCCACAGGGCTGTTGGCGTCGAGGCGCAGAATGGCGTCGCAACGCTCGCGGATGTGCTGCAGCACCATCTGCTCGGGCCACTCGCGGATGAGCGCATCGAGGCGCGAGCGCAGACGGTGCACGATGGGTACTGCCTTGCTGGTCTCCTGCCGGTCGGCCTCCGTGTAGAAGTCGGCGCGCGGGGCGTCGGGCTGACGGGCTGCCGTGGCGCTGGCGGCGAGCAGCTTGATCTGCAGCGCCGCACTGCTGCGGTCGAGCGACTCGGGCAGCACGTCGTACGACAGCTGCATGATGCGCTGCAGCACGTCGAGGCGGCTCGTCTCGAACTGCGCCCGTGCGCTGCTCTTGTGCGAGGCAAAGAGCTGCAGGTGCAGACGGTAGAGCTGCTGGACATGCTGCTTCTTGATCGACGTGCCGGCGGCCGACGCGTCCGAGTCCTGCTTGGGCTTGCCGGCGTCCGAGTCGTGCAGCACGTCGCCGAACTCGGGAAAGAGCTGTAGGAACTCCTCCTCCTCCAGCGCAGTCTCGTCCTGCACCAGGTCGTCCTGGCGCCGCGACTTGTACAAGCTGGCCTCCTGCTCCTTGGCGCGGCGCTCGCGCTCGCGGTCCAGCACCCAGAGCTGGTAGAGCTGGTCGTACACGCGGATGAGACGCCGCAGAAGGCCCGTCGATGCAACGCCGGCCTGCACGTCCGAGGCGATGCTGCCCACGGCGGCGAGCAGCAGCGGCGCGGCGAGCGGATTCATCTTGGACTCGGCCTTGAGCCGCACAGGCAGGTCCAGCTGCGCGTAGCGCGCCGTGGCCTGGCTGCTCGGGAAGCTGACGAGGGCGTCGAGCATGCGTGCGTGGTTGCGCGATGCCGCCGTGCGGGCCGCAAGCGCCGCACCCTGGCGGAGGGTGCGCAGGCCGAGCTGCAGCTGGTCGAGCGCGAGCACGTAGGGGTCGATGAGGTCTTGCAGCGAGCCGTAGCGCGCGTGCAGTCGCTGGCGGAAGCTGCTGACGGTCGCCTGCAACGACGCCTCTTGCGCATCTGACTGCTCGCTGGCATCCTGCGAGAGCAGACCGACGAGGTGCTCGACCTTGCTCGTTGCGATGACGTCGCGGCGGAAGGCGATGAGCTCCTTGTGCAGCGCCGTCAGCTGGGCCAGGTCGGGCTGCCGCGACAGTCCGGGCTGGGCAGCACCGGAGCTCCGAGCGGTGCTCCGGGTCAAAGCGTCGAGCAGCGAGCTGATGAAGGGGCTCGTCTCGGTGCCGGTGACGCTGCGCTCAACCTGGCGAGCCACGTTGACGCGGCCTTGGATGCGCTCGCGCTCGATGTCCAGCAGCGCTTCGTGCGTGCGCTGCGTCGCCAGCGGGTCAACGGCAACGCTGGGAAGGTAAAGCTGCAGCGTGGCAGTGGCGAGCCGCGCCCACGCTGTGCCGAGCGCGACGAGGTCACGGCTCGGCTCGAGAGCTATGCATGCCTGCTGCAGAGCGCCGCACCACTGTCCGAGGATCTCACGCTCCGCCTCGTCCAGCACAGCAGTATCGAGCTGCTGCGCAACCTCGGCGGCCAGCGTCTTGAATGCCTGCACGTCTTGCTCGGCGCCGAGTGCGCTGAGCAGTGCCTCGACGTGGTCGCTCGAAGCACCAGCAGCCAGTAGAGCCTCGCGCAAGGCGCCAGTGAGCTACGCGGAGGGTCAGCTGGGAGACTCTAGTGGGTGTGTAGGCGCTACTCACCTGCGCAACGAAGGCAGTCAGACCACGGGCAACCTGCTCGGCGCGGCTGGGCGAGGTGGTCAGCAGAGCGACGCCCGACAGCGACGCGAGTCTGGCGGCAGCTGCCTGATGTGCGATGGACGCGTCGAGCGATGTGCGGCCTTCGAGGCTGGTGGCCACCGCGGCGCGCAGCATCATCGGGCGGAACAGGTCGGCAGGACTCGAAGTGTCGGTGGCCCACAATCGATGAGCCCATGCGAGATCCGGCGCGGACAGTGGCTCCGAGACGCCGGACGCCGTGAGCGCCCACTCAAGCTTGCGCTGCGCCAAGGCAGCCTCGATCGGGTACGATGCCGAGGCGAGCAGTAACTGCGAGAGCGCGGCAGCGCGCTTGATGGTCGTGCTCGTCACTGCAGAGCGCTTCTGCACTGCGCTCTGGACGGCAAGCTCCAGCGCCGTCAGCGCCAGGCTATCGTGCGTGTGGTCTGCAGTTGAAGCCTCGGCGATGTGCGGCAGGTCGGCAAGCGGCTCCAGCGCTCCAAGTGTACGCTGTGCAAGCTGGAACAGCTCGCTGCGCTGGGCCTCGGACCAGATTGTCGAGTCGAGCATCAGCGTCGCGGCGATGTCGACTGCGCTCCTCGTCAGTTCTGAGGGCGAGGACGGATTAGCCACGTTCGACGCCGAAGCTTCGTGGAGCGCACCAGATGACAGCGCAGAACGAGGTGCGCTCGCGAGGAGCTGCTCGACCTGGCGAGAGAGGTCGGCCGCGGCTGCGTCCTGCACGCGAGGCAGGCACATGGTCCAGATCTGCTGCATCGCAAAGCCAGACTTGAGCGCCACGTCGCCTCCGAGGGCCTGCACGGCGGCCGCGACAGACGCGCCGAGCTTGGCTCCACCCTCCGCGAGGCGCTGCAGCAGCAGCGAGATGGCCCGCACGGCCACCTGCGTCGACGAGTAGTCGAAGTGCGTGCTTGTCGCGGCCGAGCGCACGAGGTAAAGCGACTGGTCGAGCAGCGTGCCGAGGTGCTCCAGCAATGGCAGAACGAGGCTCGCGTCCGCGATCTGGTCGCGAATCGCCAGCGCAATGCCGACGGCCAGCGGGAAGAGCGCGCCGGCCTGGGCCACGCGCTCCGCCTCGTGCTCGAGGATGTGGCCGGCCATGGTCAGCGCAGAGATGTCGAGCACGCTCAGGTCGTCTCCAGTGCGTCCCGCGGCTGCATGAGCGGTCCGGCTGAGCTCGGCGAGGCGGTGTGCCGCCCGCACGAGCAGCTCCACTCGCAGGCCGATGTCGGCCTGCTCGCTGCTGTCGTCGCAAGCGGCCGCATTCAGGCGAAGGTCCGGACCCTGAAGCAGCGCAAAGTGAGTCAGTATCAGTCACGGGAAAGCAGCGGATCTGACTCACCTGTTCGTCAAGGAAGGCGCCGCTGCACAAGAGGCGCTGCGCAAGCAGTGCCTTGCTGCGCTCGACAGTGAGCATGAGCGGATGCTCGCGCACGCCCGCCAGCGCAGACGCAAAGTCCTCCTGCAGTCCCGCAGTGACACGTGTGGCCAGCGCCAGACTCGAGCGCGGCAGGCCAGCAGAGACCTGCACGAGGGCCGCTTCTGTCTCGAGCGACTCGGCGGCCAGGGCGCACGGAGCGCTCTGAAGCAGCGCAGCAGCGACGACTGAGTCGTCGACGACGAGCTCGCGCGACACCTGGGCGTCGTCGGTGCGCGCCTGGCTGACTGTCGCAGAGGCAAGCTCAAAGGCCGAGCCCGCTGCGGCATCGAGGTAGATCTCGATGCCGCGGTTGCGCATGGCCCGACTGAGCTCGCCCTGCCGCGGGTCGAGGGCCATGAAGACGCGGAAGGACGGGTGCGGCCGAATGACAGGCACGGCGCCGTCGACGACACCGCGCTCGCTGAGGACAATCGTGCCGTCGGGTTCGAAGAGGGAGTTGAGGCGGTCGAGCACCGACGCAGAGCACAGGTTGGCGTCGTCGATCAGCAGCCACGAGCCGCTGTGCATGGCGCGCACGAGGGGCCCGTCTCGCCATTCGAAGCGGCCCGGCGCTTGTGATGTAGCGCTCAGCACCTCGGCAAGCTCGGCCGCAGCGGCGACTCCCGCTGCATCGAGCAGGCCGGCGGCGTCCACGCGAGTGCAGGCGGAGAGTAGCGTCTCGGCATCGAGCACGCTGTCCTTGGCGGCGGCCAGGGCGGCCAGGGCGGACTGCACCTCTGCCAATGCAGCAGTGACGCAGTCGAAGTGCTCGGGCGGGCATGCCCACGCTGCGGGCACGACCGCCTGCAGCGAAGCATGCAGCTGCGAGAGGCAGCGCCGAGCCACTCCCTGCGGATCGGCCTGCTCAAAGGTGCCGAGCAAGTCCATGGTGTCGACGCCCGAGCTCATTGAGAACTCCTCGAGGTGTGCCCCGACGAGCTTGGCAAGCAGGCGCACCGCGCTCGTCTTGCCCGCGCCTCCGGGGCCCGCCAGAATGGCGAGCCAGTTCATCTGCACGCAGTCTGCCAGCGTCTCAAGCGCAGCCAGGTGCTCGGGCAGCAGAAGCAGCCGGCGGCTGTCGGCCAGAGGCTGGCGCAGCCGCTGCAGCACTGCGTGTCCGAACTGCACGTGGCCGGGCGTGATCGACGGCTGCGGCCGGGCAGCCGTCGCAGGTGCGTGCCCGAATACGGCTTCGAAGACCGCGGCCGCGGCGGCCCGGTCACGCTCGGAGCGGAAGCGCTGCAGGTACAGGTTGGCGAGGTGCTCCATCGGCGCGCGGCGCCAGTTGAGGCCGAGACTCGAGTGCAGCAGGCCGAGCCAGCGCAGCAGGTCGCGAAGGTTGAACTCCCAGGGCGCCCCTGCGCGGCCGAAGCTGTGCTGCACCATCGTGGCGTGGTGCAGGCGGGCGTTGAACTCGATCATGCGGCCGAGCGCCTGCCGGTCGAAGGCGGGGTAGAGGTGGGCGCAGATGATCTCGATGTCGGCGGCGCGCAGCTCCTCGACGAACACCTTGGTGAAGCGGTTGAGGAACGACTTGGGCAGGCCCTTGCGCCCGCCGCCCTGCTGCTGCGGATTCTGCGCCGCAAAGATGCGGAAGTCGCGGTGCTTGGAGAAGGAGCGGCCCAGCTCGGGCACGTAGACGCTGCCGCGGTGGTCGAGACACGAATTGAGGCCCTCGAGCACCGTCTGCGAGGCCAGGTTCATCTCGTCGAGCAGCACCCTGAGGAGCGCATCAGCGCCCGTGCAGCACGCCGCAATCACTCGACTGACCATTCTCCAGACTGCATGGCGCGCAGGAACGCCGCATCGCGCCATTCAAACTCGCCCGCAGCGCCGCCCTCGAGCGGCAGATCGCCGCCGAAGAGGTCGACGAGCTCCGTCTGGTCCGACAGGTTGATGCGCGTCAACGCGTTGCCCGTCGCGCTGGCCAGTGCGGCGACCAGGCTCGTCTTGCCGGCGCCCGGGCTGCCCTCGAGCAGAATCGCCTTGGTCGGCACGAGCAGCGCACGCAGCACGCGCATCGCGTTCGCCGCCGTCGTCGGCGCGGCGAAGCTGAAGGGCACGGCAGCAGCGGCATCCGCCTGCGGCACCTTGGCAATGGCAAAGGGCCCGATGCTGAAGGTGGTTGCGGAAGACTGCACGTCGAGCAGACTCGCGGCCGAGACGTCGAAGACGTGCGGCGCGACGAGCTGCGCAATGCGCTCATGACAGCGCCGCCGCAGCGCCTGGATGCTCGCTGCGGACATGGCTGCCGTGGCAGGGAGTGCGCCGATGCCGTCGACGACGGCTAGCAGGGCGCCCTGAGCAAATGCATCAGGCGCTGACAGCGCACCGGACGCCGTCGCAGCATTGACAAATGCCGTCCAGGCAAGAATGTCGCGCAGACCAAGATTCGCCTGCTCGCGGCCTCCGACCTCTGCCGTGATCCAGTCGACAAAGTCAAGCAGCGGCTCGCTCCAGCAGTGCAGCTCGGGCGTGGCCCAGCGAGCCTGCAGGATGCGCAGCAGGTCGGCGCGCGCATCGACGTGCGGCACCCAGATCTCGGTGAAGCGGTTGCGGAGTGCCGGACTGAGCTCCTTCTTGCCGTAGTCGCCGCCGGGGTTCATTGTCGCGAGCACCTGGAAGCCCTCCTGCGCCTTGAGCTGCGCCGCATCGAGCGCGCTGGTGCCGTCGATCGAGGCGCCGCTGCGCTCCGCCAGCACGAGCGTGCGGCCCGGCTCGAGCACGCTGTTGAGACGCTCCAGCACGCTGTCGTCAGCCAGCGAGATCTCGTCGAGCAGCAGGTGGTCGCCCTGCCGCATCGCCTCGACCAGCGGGCCGTCGTGCCACTCGAAGAGCGCCATGGCGCGATTGACGCCCTGCAGCGCAGCGTGCACCTCGGCACGAGCGCAGCCATTGCGCTCCGCCTCGTCCGCCTCTGGCCATGCGGCCAGCGCGCGGGACAGGGCGGCAGCGACTTGCTCGAGGTCGGACATGGCGTCGAGCGTGCAAGCGGCATCCAGGCGAAGCAGCACCTCGAGTGCCGTCGCTCGGCTGGCGCTCTGCACGGCGGCGCGGTTGCGCAGTGGCCGCTGACCGCCAAGCAGGTCGGCCGTGTCGGTGTTCTGATGGCAGTTGACGGCATGCAGGCGGCAGCCAAACGCAGCAGCCAGGAGCTCGCAGACGGACGTCTTGCCCGAGCCCGTCTCGCCGACGAGCAGCACGGGCTCGTCGTAGCGCAGTGCGGCCGCGACAAGGCAGAGCAGCCGCTGCATGGCGTCGGTCCAGACGATGCCTGATGCCTCCGCCTTGCCGACTAGCTCGGAGGCAATCTCCTCGCCGATGCGCGCAGCAGCCGGAGTGTTGGATGCATCGCGCAGGTCGTAGAGCTTGGCCTCGTCGAGGCGCACGCGCATCACCTGCTCGATGACCTCGCGCACCACGACCTTGTCGTCGACGCGCCGTGCTCGCTCGGCAATCAGCATGTAGCCGTTCTCCGCCAGTGCCTGGTAGCCGACTGCCTCGCGCTGGCCCCAGCGAAAGAGGTCGCGCAGCGTGACGAAGGCCTGCTTGGTGTCGAAGACACGGCCTGCCTGTCGGCGCTTCTGCAGCTCCACAAACACGGCGACGATCTTGCTGGCGTACGAGGGCGCAATGCTGCAGCGGTTCGTGAGGATGAGCTCGAGCTCCGGCTGCGGCACGTCGTCAAAGTGGATCTCGAGGAAGCGGTTGCGGAACGCGCGGCTGAGCATCTTGCGCCCGGCATAGAGGCCCGGCGGGTTCTGCGTGGCGAAGAGCATGAAGTGCGGGTGCGGGCGCACCACCTCGCCCGTCTCGGGGATGACAAGCTCGCGATTGTCGTCGAGCAGGCGATTGAGCGCCTCGAGCACGTCGGTAGGCGCCAGATTGAGCTCGTCGAGCACGATCCAGTCACCGTTGCGCAGGGCACGGACAAGCAGGCCCTCGTGGAAGACGAGACGGCCCGAGTCTGCATCGGAGGCATACGAGCCGAGGTACTCCTGGATGTCGGTGTGTTCGTGGTTGTTGATGCGCACGAAGCGGTGTCCCGTGCGGCGCGCCAGGTACTCGATGGCACTCGTCTTGCCCGCCGACGTCGGGCCCTGGATGAGCACGGGGTTGCGGCGCGTGATGACGGCGCGGCCGAGGCCAACGAGCTTGGCTTGCACCGACGGCGTCAAGACGTAGTCTTCTGCCGCGTCGATGGGCAGCGGACCAGTCTCAAGCCAAAAGGCGCCCACTTGCACCCACTTGCCCTCGGCAGCACCCGCCGGTGCCGGGGGCACGAACGACGCCGCCGCCTTGACGTTCTTGGCACGCGCCATAAGGCGGCGCTGCAGAATCTCGTGCACCCTCGCTGCGCTGGCCTCGTCGAGCAGCAGCACGAACGCCATGACGAAGCCTTCCCACAGCGCGCGGCGCAGACCGTACGTCGGCGCCACGTCGGCGGCAAAGGTGAGGGCGCGCGAGAGGGTGCGGATGGAGAAGTGCGGCCGCTGGTTGGCGCCGTCGGCGAGCTCATGGCGGTCGACGAGGGCACGGATCTCGGCATACGCCTCCGCCACGTCCATCACCGCCGAGCGATCGCCGAGCGACAGCTGTCCGATGTACTTGTCGACGATGCTGACGAGCGCCTCGCGATCCGCCGCAGGGCTGGGCACGTAGATTTCTGTGAAGCGGCTGCGCAGGCTGGCGGGCAGGTCCTTCTTGCCGACGTCGGTGGCCGGGTTCATGCAGGCAAACAGCCGGAAGTCCGGGTGTCGCGGCACAGGCTCGAGGTCTCCGCGCTCCGTCAGCACAACAGAGCTGTCGGGCGCCTGCAGCAGGGCAGAGAGACAGTCGAGCGTCTCGGGCGCCGCGAGGTTGACTTCGTCGAGCAGCACCCAGGCGCCGCTGCGCAGTGCCCGCACGAGCGGGCCCTCGACGAAGGCAAAGACGAGGTTGCGCCGCTTGGCCGCGTGCTGCGTTTCGAAGCGCCGCGCGCGCTCCGCAAAGTCGCTCCAGGCGGCATCGAGGGCGGCCTCACGTTCTTGCTGCGCCTGCGTCGCCTCGATGCTGCCCGTGGCGGTGCGGCGCTTCTTCTGGCTGCGGTCGGCCTCGGCTTGAGCATGCTCATCGGACGCTGTCTCTTGCGCGACAGGCGCCTCGCTGCGTCTCTTGCGCGTCGCTGCCATGCGAGATGACTCGCGCCACAGGCCCGCCAGGCGAGCCCACTTGCCCGAGCCAAACGCCTTGCGCTCCGCATCGACGAAGCGCGCATTGCGGCGGGAGGAGAAGGTGCGTTCGAAGAGCTCGCTCCATTCGTTGTGCAGCTCCGTCGCTGGCAGCTTGGGGTCCAGAGGCTTGAATGCACCCAGCAGGTCGGCACTCTCGGTCTGCTGGCTCAGGTTCAGCGCCACGAGGGGCCGCGCCAGCAACGAGGCGAGATGCTGCACCAGCGTCGTCTTGCCCGTGCCCGTCTCGCCCACCATCAGCACCGGCTCGCTCTGCGACACGCACGCTGCAAGACGCTCCACAAGAAGCGCGGCCGGCCTCGTCATGGCGAAGCTGCGCGAGACGGGCACCACGCCTGCGGCAGCGCCTTGTGGCAGACGCTCCATCTCGACGCGCCCGACGCGCAGCTTCGACGCTGCAGCTCGCTCGCCGGGGAGGGAGGTCTCCGAGGAGAGCAGCGCCAGCTCGGGCGTGCGTCCTCGCAAGGCCCACCAGGCTCGCTCGGGGCTGACGTGCAGGCTGGCAGCAAGCGCCTCGACCATGCCGCTGTACGCTTGATCTGCGCCGCTCGAGGACGCATCGACGGGTGCACTGCTGCTCTGTGCGGTACTTGACGCGAGCATCGAGGCGCTGCAGGAAAAGGGATGGTCAGCGGTCGCGCTCATACGGAGACCCCGAGCACGACTCACGGAGGAGCCAGCGCGCCCAAGAAGACATCGCACGCCTCAGCGAAGATCTCCTCCTGCCGCACCTGATTCTCAAACGGCGCAGTGTTGGCGGGCGCACTTGCATTGCCCACGTGCAGCAGCGCCTCGACGCGCCGACACCACTTGACGAGGTCGCGCAGCGACACGGCTCGGCGGCTGCCACTCGGGTTGGCACTGCTTGTGCCGCCCGTCGAGGTGCCGACCTTGCCGCTCGTCACACGCCGCACGGCCTCCCATGCCGCGATGAGGCGCGCCAAGGACGCATCACGCGTGCCCGCCAGGCGAGGAAAGGTGTGCTGCAGGATGGCGCGCACGTCTGCAGCGCTGGGCGCGGGCATGAAGACTTCGCTCCAGTGTCCATGGCTGAGGAACGTCGCGGGCGCCGCGTTGTGGCCCGCCACGGCGCGCGTCGCAAAGAGCGCGAAACCCTCGCCGGCGACTACTCTGCCTCTGGAGCCCAGATCGAGCGACGGACGATCTCCGATGCGCTTCGCCGGCGAGAGCGCCTCGACGAGGGGCTTAATCACGGCCAAGACGTCGCTTGAGGCGCGGTCGATGTCCTCCAGCACTACCCAGAGACCAAGGCGCAGCGCTCGCGTGAGGGCGCCTTCGGCCCACTCGAACGTGCCGGGTCGCGTGGAGCTCGAGACGAAGGATCCGAGCAATGCCTTGGCGTCGATGCCCGACTGGTCGCCGAGCTGCAGCGAGAGGAGCGGGAGGGAGGCACTGGCGCTTGCGGCGTGCAGCTGCGCGCACAGATGCGCGAGCAGCGACGTCTTGCCGCTCGCAGCGGGGCCGGAGAGGAGCACGGGCAGCCGAGAGCCCATGCGTTGCGCGAGGGCACACAGCACCGGCTGCAGCGCGTCCGTCTCGACGAATGCAGGCGCGCTCGTCGGCGTGGCCGACGGCGCCGCATCGGGACGCAGCAGCAGGACGCCGCCGATGTTGACGACGTGCGAACTGAGATCGGCCGCGCTCAGCGCGCCCTCGGCGGGCTCATCAGGGGAGCGATGAACACGCGTTGTTGCCCTTGCAGCGCTAGCGAGAGCAGCGCAGCGACGCATCTCCTGCAGCGTCAACAGCCAGGCATCGAGCTGCTCGACGAGCGCGCCGTTTGCGTCTCGGATCTCCAGATGGGCATCTGCAGCAGCGGCAGATGCGACGCCGTCATGGTCCATCTGCTGCTGCTCCTGCTCGACGCCAAGCATGGTAGACTCTCCAATGAAGTTCTGCTGCAGCTCCAGCCTTGCGGCCTCGGGCATACGCTGCTGGCCCGCAAAGACGGCGAGCGCGAGCAGACGCGTGGGCGCACTGTGCTTGCTCGAGGCAAGCAGCGCGTGAAGCGGCGTGGAGGACCAGTGCGGCGAGAGCGAGGCGAGAAGCGCGGGCGCGGCACGCAGCAGGCGGAAGTGGGAGAGCAGCAGAGCTTGGAGCGCCGCGCTGTCGGCTGGCACGTCGGCCAGCGGCCCGGCAGCGAGCGAGGGCGCGGAGAGCAGACGGGACGCTGCGCTGCAGAGGGGGGCAAGGCTGAGGCTTAGCGCCAGGCAGCGAAGCTGTGCGGTCAAGAGGCACTCACGGAAGCAGCGCCTCAAAGGCGCCCAGCAGGCGCGCCACGGCATGCAGCGCGGCGTGCGTCTGCGGCTGCGTCCAGCTGGGGCGCTGCTGCTGCTGCGCGAAGAGGCGGTCGAGGGCGCGGGCGAGCAGCTCGGGCAGCAGCGGCTCGCAGGCGACGGCCACGTGTGCCGTGCATGCCGGCTCGAGCAGCAGCGTGGCGAGCGCGTCGAGCAGCGCCGCGGCCGAGGCACGCGGCGCCGAGGCGTGCGCGTACTGCTCGACGAGGGCGAGGGCCGACGAGGGCGCGAGGGCGAGCGGCGCGAGGAGCGTGACGAGGCTCAGCGAGGCGTCACGCAGATCGAGGGAGAGCGCGGAGGCCGACATGGTGGCAGCGGCTGGCTCTCGCTGCTCTCGCTGCAGGCTGCTTGAGGTGTAAGAAGATGAAGGTGAGGAGGAGGAAGCGGCGGTCGGTGTCAGCATGGCTTACCGCGCTTCAGGGCCCTGCGGCCTCCTTCGCGCGGCAAAAATCGCCCTCCGCGGCCACCGCGGCCGGAGCTCTGGCGGTGGAGGCGCGGCACGTGCCGCCAGATTGGCGCGGCGCGGCTCGGCAAGTGTCCCACGCTCGCGCGACCTCGCTGCTGCTCCTCCTTCCTGCCACCTCCTCCTCTACCCTCTCGCCATGGCGCCCAAGGCAGCAGCGGCTGCTGCGCCTGCCAAGGCGGCGCTCGTGACGGACGCCGGTGCGTGCTCTTTGCCTCGCCTTCCACTGACTCGTGCTGATCCCGACTGCGCGCGCGCGCCAGACGTGCAAGGCACGCTCTTCCGCCTCACCATCCTCCTCGCCACGTCGCTCGCGTCGCTGCACGAGGCGCACGCGCCCGCCGTGCATGCCTCTTCCTCGGCGCTGCCGGCGCCGGCCTTCTACGCCTCGCTCTCGCGCCAGCTGCACGCCGACGTGCTGGCGCTGCTGCACGTCGCGCAGAAGTGCGCCTCGGCCCTCACGCTGGCGCTGCGGCGCGGCGCGCGGCAGCCGGCGCCGCCAGCGCACGGCAGCAGCAGCAGCAGCAGCAGCACGTCGGCCACCGCCGGCATGGACGGCGCCAGTCTGGCCGCCGCAAAGGCGCAGCTCGACACGCTGGCGCACGAGGTGCTGCCCAAGCTCGCCTTTCTCTGCGCAAAGGCCGCGCGCGACGCAGACGTGCGCGTGGCGCTCGACGCGCCGCCGAGCGCAGAGGAGCAGGCGGAGCGCGCGCGGATCGCGCACGAGGTCGAGGCCCTGGGCGGCAGAGTGCTGCCGCCGGGCGGCAAGAGTCGCAAGGTGGCGGGCCTGGGCGTCGGGCAGGCGTTTGCCAAGGCGCTGGCGCAGCGCGTCGAGGCGGTGCTCGATGCCCTCGTCGAGCTCTTCACGGCGCTGATGGACGAGCGCACGCACGCCGCCGTCGCCAAGGCCGCCGCCGCACGGGCGCGCGCAGAGGGGCGGCGGCTCATGCTGCGTGCGCAGCAGCGCGCCGCCGCGGCCGCCAGTGCGGCACAGGCGCGCGAACAGGCGCTGCAGGCGACGGCCAAGGTGTGGGCGGCGTGCGACGAGGCACAGAAGGAGATGCCGCGCAACAATCGCGAGGCGCTCGCGCGGAGATGGCGGGAGAGAGAGGAGGTGATGGACGATGGCTGGGAGGAGCTGAAGAGTGAGGCCGGCGTGGAGGAGGACGATGAGCACGACGACGACAAGGCGGCCGCGTCAGTCGTGAGCGCCGCACCCTCTGCGCCATCAACACAGCTCGACGACGACGACGAGGATCCGCTGGCTGGGCTACAAGACATGCAGCTGACGCTCGCCGAGAAGCGCGAGGCGCGCCGCTACGTGCCGCTGCTGAAGCTCGGGCGCATTCTGCATCGCGCGGCGGGCCGCGTGGCGCTCGCTGCGCCTTCGGCCGCCTCGTGCGACGCCGCCAGCGCCGCAGCCACGTCGCCGCAAGCCGCCGCCGCGCACGCTCTGGATCTCGACGCGCTCGACGCGCAGGCGCAGCGCCTCGCAGAGCGCCAGGACGACGTCGTCGCGGCGCTGCTGTATGGCGGCGCGCATGGCATGGAGCTCGAGTCGCTGGGCTCCGACGCCGGCTCCGACGTGGAGGCGGAGGCAGGCGCCACTGCCGCAGTCGCGCGTGAAGAGGAGGCAGAGGAGGGGCACGAGGCCGAGGCGGACGACTCGGAGGAGGAGGAGACGCAAGACACCGCATCCGTCTGTGCCGCCTACGTCGCTGCGGCCACAGAGCTCGCGGCGGCCCTGGGCGTGCGGCTCGCCGACGCGGCGCCGACACAAGCGCTCCCTTGCCGCACACCGGCGGCGGCGCAGGAGCAGGCAGCAGCAGCGCAGCCGCCGCAGCCGCAAGAGGGCAGCGCCAAGGCGCGGCACACGCTGCGCATGTGTGCCGAGGGCATGCGCAAGCTGGCGGCGAGCCTGCGCGTGCCTGCCGCGGCAGAGGAGCAGGAGGCCCACGCAGAGCCATGAACTTCGCGAATGCACCCATCAGCCAAACCTGTCGTCGCTTTGTTCCCCCTCCCCCCCTCCCCCCGCGGCGCTCTTTTCCGCCTTTTCCGCGGGCGCCGCGCCGGATGCAGATGAGTGCTGCCGGACCAGCTGCGCGAGGGATCAGGGCCCTTTGCCAGGGGCGCACCAGTCTCTCGAGACGCGTCTTCGTCTTGGGGCGCAGCGCGCCGTGGTCAGGCCTTGCACAGGAGGGGGGGAGGGGAGGGGGGGGCATCTGCATTTTCTCTCCCCTTGCGCCCACCTTGTTGTCCCTCCATTGTGGCGCCCTTGCAAATGCTTCCCCCCTTCACGCCACCTTGACAATCAGCTTGCCCGTCGTGCCGCGTCCCGCAATGTCCTCCTGCGCCTGCCGCACGCCCTCGACCGAGAAGGCGTACTCCTGGTGCACACGCAGCGTCAGCTTGTGCTGCGCCAGCAGCGCGAAGAGCTCCGCGGCGTAGCGCTCCGTCTCTTCGCGCGTGTAGACGCTGGGCGGGAGAAGAAAGAGGGGGCAAAGGTGAGCAAGGTAGAAAGAAAGAGGGGGGGGGGGGGGGCGCGAATACGCACTAGTTGCCGAGAGTGGGACGGCAGACTGAAGGGTGCCGAGAGTGGGTCAGCGGCCGGCTCGTCGCAAGAAGGGGGCTCGCCCCCACCTGCCCCGCGCGCTGCTCGCCCCACCCAGCACTACTCACCCTTGACGTTCTTGGCCGCCAGCTTGAGGGGCGCAAAGGCCGGCACGGCGCCGCTGGCATTGCCAAACGTGACGATGGTGCCCTTGCGCGCAATCATCTTAAAGTCATCCTCCCACGTGTCCTTGCCGACGCCGTCGAAGATGGCGGCCACACCCGCGCCGTGCGTGAGGCGCGCCACCTCGTCGGCCACCGAGACGGAGGCGTCGGCATAGTTGATGAGGTGTGTGGCGCCGGCGGCCTGTGCCAGGGAGGCCTTGGCCGCCGTAGAGACGGTGCCGATGACCGTGGCGCCGAGGTAGGAGGCCATCTGGTGAGGCGCGGG